AGGCCCCCCCTCACCGTCAGCGGGGTCCCCACGAGAGAGCGAGCGGAGCTTCGGGACAGACGGACACGGGACAGACGGACAGAGAGGGGACAGAGGGACACGGGACAGAGGGACAGACGGACAGAGGGACAGAGGGACAGAGAAGGGATGGACAGACAGACAGGCAGGGGACAGACAGAGGGACAAAGGAGACAGACACAGGGACAGAGAGGGGACAGAGGGACACAGGACAGAGGGACAGAGGGACAGAGGGACAGAGGGACAGAGGGACAGAGGGACAGAGGGACAGAGGGACAGAGGGACAGAGAGGGGACAGGGAGGTGACAGACGGACAGATGGACAGAAGGACAGACAGGGAGGGGACAGAGGGACAGACAGAGGGACAGAGGGACAGAGAGGGGATGGACAGACAGAGGGACAGAGGGACAGGGAGGGGACAGAGGGACAGAGGGACAGAGGGACAGAGAGGGGATGGACAGACAGAGGGACAGAGGGGACAGGGAGGGGACAGAGGGGACAGAGGGGACAGAGGGACAGAGGGACAGACGGACAGACAGAGGGACAGAGAAGGGACACAGGGACAGAGGGACGGACGGACAGAGGGACAGAGGGACAGAGGGACAGAGGGGACAGAGAAGGGATGGACAGACAGAGGGACAGAGGGACAGGGAGGGGACAGAGGGACAGACAGAGAAGGGACAGAGGGACAGGGAGGTGACAGACGGACACAGGACAGAGGGACAGACGGACAGAAGGACAGACAGGGAGGGGACAGATGGACAGGGAGGTGACAGAGGGACAGACGGACACAGGGACAGGGAGAGAGAAAAGCAAAGTCACGGGGAGGGGTCTCGAGACCCCCCCCCAAAAGCAGCGACAGCCCCGGTGGGACCCCCGGGAGGGGCAGAAGAGACCCCAAAATGTGTGTGGGGGGGGGGGGACAGAACCCCTCAGGATGGGCAGGGACAGAGACCCCCAAATTGGGGGGTTTGAAGGACAGAGACCCCTAAAACTGGGGGGGGTTTGGAGCACAGAGACCCCCAAATTGGGGGGTTCAGAGGACAGAGACCCCCAAATTGGGGGGTTTGAAGGACAGAGACCCCCAAAGTTGGGGGATTTGGAGACCCCCAAATTGGGGGTTCAGAGGACAGAGACCCCCAAATTGTGGGGGGGGGGGCTAGAAGGACAGAGACCCCTAAAACTGGGGGGGGTTTGGAGCACAGAGACCCCCAAATTGGGGGTTCAGAGGACAGAGACCCCAAATTGGGGGGTTTGGAGACCCCCAAATGTGGGGGGGTTTGGAGGACAGAGACCCCCAAATTGGGGGTTCAGAGGACAGAGACCCCCAAATTGGGGGGTTCAGAGGACAGAGACCCCCAAATTGGGGAGGGGGGACGCAGAGACCCCAAAGCGGAGCCGTCGGAGAACAGAAACCCCAAAGTGGGGAACACAAAAACACAGAACCGCCGAATTTGGGGGGTGGGCGCGGACCCCCCCCCACCCCCCCAGCGGGAATTTGGGGAGGGGGCTCACCCTGGCCCACGGTGACGCCGAAGGGGCTGCGGGGGATGGGCACCCCCCCGAAGGTGACGTGCACCTGGTGCAGCCCCTCGCTCTGCGGCCGGTAGGAGCAGCGGAAGCCCCCAGACCCACGATCCTCCAGCAGCGCCTCGGGGGTCCCGCGCCGCCCGCTGGGGTCCACGATGGAGACCCCCACCTCCCCCGGGCCCGCACCTGCCGGGAGAGACCCCTCCTCAAATTCAAACTCACTGAATTCCCACGGAAATCCTCACAGAGACCCCTCCTCAAATTCACTGAATTCCCACGGAAATCCTCGCAGAGACCCCTCCTCAAATTCACTGAATTCCCACGGAAATCCTCGCAGAGACCCCTCCTCAAACTCACTGAATTCCCACAGAAATCCTCACAGAGACCCCTCCTCAAATTCAAATTCACTGAATCGCCGCAGAAATCCTCACAGAGACCCCTCCTCAAATTCACTGAATTCCCACAGAAATCCCCAAATCCACACAGAGACCCTCCCCCACCCAGGACCCCCCAAACCCCCCCAGGACTCCCCAAACTCCCCCTAAAACTTCCCCAAACCCCTCTGGGACCCCCCAAACCCCCCCAAACCTCCCCCTAAAACTCCCCCAAAGTCCCCCAGGACCCCCAAACCCTTCTAGGACCCCCCAACCCCCCCCAAAACTCCCCCTAAAACTGCCCCAAACCCCTCTAGGACCCCCCCAAACCTCCCCAGGACCTCAAAAACTCCCCCTAAAACTCCCCCAAAGCCCCCCAGGACCCCCTAAAACCTCCTCAACTCTCCCCAAAACTCCCCCAAACCCCTCTAGGACCCCCCAAACTCCCCCTAAAACTCCCCCAAACCCCCCCAGGACCCCCCAACCCCCCCCAGTACCCCCAAAACTTCCCCTAAAACTCCCCGAAACCCTTCTAGGACCCCCCAGACTCCCCCAGGACCCCGAAAACTCCCCCTAAAACTCCCCAAAATCCCCCCAAGAGCCCCAAAACTCCCCCTAAAACTCCCCCAAACCCCTCTGGGACCCCCTAAACCCCCCAGGACCCCCCAAAAACTCCCCCTAAAACCCCCCCAAACCCCCCCAGGACCCCCCAAACCCCCCCCAGGACCCCCCAAACTCCCCCTAAAACTCCCCAAAATCCCCCCCAGTACCCCCCAAACTCCCCCTAAAACTCCCCCAAACCCCCCCAAACCCCCTCAGGACCCCGCAAACCCCCCCAGTACCCCCAAAACTCCCCCTAAAACTCCCCCAAACCCCACCAAACCCCCCCAGGACCCCCCAAACTCCTCAAAACCCCCTCAGGACCCCCCAAACTGCCCCCAAAACTCCCCCAAACCCCTCTAGGACCTCCAAAACTCCCCCTAAAACTCCCCCAAACCCCACCAAAGCCCCCCAGGACCCCCCAAACCCTTCTAGGACCCCCAAACCCCCCCAAACCCCCCCCGCCCCCCCAAAGCCCCCCAAACCCCCCCAAACCCCCCAAACCCCCCAGCCCCGCACCCACCGGCGGTGCAGATGTCGAAGTGCGTGCTCCTGTTGGCCGCGTTCCCCAGCGGCTCCAGCCCCGGCCCCGCCGCCGTCACCCGCCCGGCGTCCCCCGCTGCCCTCCCCACCTGCACCTCGAAGGGGCTCTTGGCGATGTGCTGCCCCGCGAACAGCACCGTCACCTGCGGCACCCCAAAAACGGCTCAGGCACGGGGAGCCCCCCAAAAACACAGCGCCGGGAACGGGGGGGGGGAAAGGGGAGAAACGGCCCAAAAACTGCCCCAAAAACGGCCCAAAAACTGCCCCAAAAACGGCTCAGAACGCCCCAAAAATGGCTCAAACATCCCAAAAATGGCTCAGAACGCCCCAAAAATGGCTCAGAATGCCCCAAAAATGGCTCAGAACGCCCCAAAAATGGCTCAGAACGCCTCAAAAATGGCTCAGAACGCCCCAAAAATGGCTCAGAACACCCCAAAACCGGCTCAGAACGCCCCAAAAACGGCTCAGAACGCCCCAAAACCGGCTCAGAACGCCCCAAAACCGGCTCAGAACGCCACAGAAATGGCTCAGAACGCCCCAAAAACGGCCCAAAAACTGCCCCAAAAACGGCTCAGAACGGCCCAAAAATGGTTCAGAACGCCCCAAAAACGGCTCAGAACGCCCCAAAAACGGCTCAGAACGCCCCAGAAATGGCTCAGAACACCCCAAAAACGGCTCAGAACGCCCCAGAAATGGCTCAGAACACCCCAAAAATGGTTCAAACATCCCAAAAATGGCTCAGAACGCCCCAAAAACGGCTCAGAACGCCCCAAAAATGGTTCAAACGTCCCAAAAATGGCTCAGAATGCCCCAAAAATGGTTCAAACATCCCAAAAATGGCTCAGAACACCCCAAAAATGGCTCAGAACGCCCCAAAAATGGCTCAGAACGCCCCAAAAATGGCTCAAACATCCCAAAAATGTATTGGGGAGCCCAAAAAATTAATCAGGACCCCAAAAAATGGGGGGGTCACAGGGAGGGACACCCCCAAAAAACCCCAGGAGAGGGGGAGGAATGGTGGGGGTGGGAAGAGGGAGAAATAGCCCAAAACCCGCCCCAAAAACGGTTCAAATATCCCAAAAATGGTTCAGAATGGCCCAAAATTAATCAGGGACCCCCCAAATTAATCGGGGACCCCCCAAATGAATCGGGGACCCCCCCAAATTTCCCGGGCCCCCCGACCTTGTGGACGCCGGTGACTTTGGGCACGTAGGACACGGAGAACGTTCGGTTCTTGTCGTTGTTGGCCACCACCTTGGCCTGGGGAGGGGTCACAGGGTCAGACCCCCCCCAGGGACCCCAAAACCCACAGGGAACCCCCCCCAAAATTAAAAAAAAAGCACCAAAACTCCCTCAAAATACAACAAATCCCCCCCCAAAAAAATCCCCCCGAAACCCTCCCAAAATCCTCAAAAACAAAACCCAAAACCCCCCCAAAATATCCCAAAACCCCCAGCCCCAAAACCCTTAAAAACAAAACCCAAAGCCCCCCTAAAATACCCCAAACCCCTCCCAAAATACCCCAAAACCCTTAAAAACAAAAATCCTCAAAAACAAACCCAAAATACCCCACCCCCCCCAAAACCCTTAAAAACAAAATCCAAAACCCCCCCAAAATACCCCAAACCCCCCCAAAATACCCCAACCCCCCCCAAAATACCCCAAACCCCCCCAAAATACCCCAAAACCCCTCAAAAAAAAACCCCAAAATAATCCAAGATACCCCAAAAAGCCACAAGGACCACCCCGAAACCCCTCAAAAAAAAACCCCCAAAACCCCCAAAAAACACCCCAAACCCACAGAGGTGCCCCAAACCTCCCCTGAAACCCCCCAAGGACCCCCCAAACCTCATGAGGACCCCCCCAAACCCCCCCAAATTCACCGAGGACCCCCCCAGACCCCCCAGAGGACCCTCCCAAATCTCCCCAGACCCCCCCAAATCCCCCTGAGGACCCCCCCAAGCCCCCCAAATCCCCCCAGACCCCCCCAGACCCCCCCAAATCCCCCCAGACCCCCCCAAATCCCCCTAAATCCCCCCAGACCCCCCCAAATCCCCCCAGACTCCCCCCAGACCCCCCCAAATCCCCCTGAGGACCCCCCAGACCCCCCCAAATCCCCCCAGACCCCCAAACCTCCTCGCGGTGCCCGTCGGGGTCCTCCACGTAGACCAGCACCTCCCCCTGCCCCGCGCTGATCGTCTCCACCGTGAACTCGGCGCGCTGCTGCACCACGTTCCCGCTGGGCTCGATCCCTGCCGGACCCCAGACTCAATTCGGGGTCCCACACCCACCTCGGGGGGTCCCAGACCAACCCCGGGGGTCCCACACCCACCCCAAACCCACCCAGTCCCACCCAAACCGGGCGCGCTGCTGCACCACCTTCCTGGTGGGCTCCATCTCTGGGAGACCCCAGACTCAAATCGGGGTCCCAGACCACTCCCCAAAACCTGGGGGTCCCGGGGGGTCTCAGGACCCCCCCTCACCTGGCCCACAGACCCTGGTGACCTTTTTGGGGTCACGTTTGGGGTACCCCATCTCCTAAACCCTCTGGTCTGCAGCCCCCAAATTCGGGGGTCCCGGGGGTCTCAGGGGTCTCAGGGGGTCCCGGGGGTCTCAGGGGGTCCCGGGGCTCCCGGGGGGGTCCCAGGGGTCTCAGGGGGTCCCGGGGGGTCTCAGGGGGTCCCGGGGGTCCTAGGGGGTCTCAGGGGTCCTGGGGGTTCCCGGGGGGGGTCTCAGGGGGTCCCGGGGGGTCCTGGGGGGTCCCGGGGGTCTCAGGGGGTCCCGGGGGGTCCCGGGGGGTCCTGGGGGGGTCCCAGGGGGGTCTTGGGGGTCCCGGGGGGGTCTCGGGGGTCCCAGGGGGGTCCCGGGGGTCCCGGGGGGGTCTCAGGGGGTCTCAGGGGGTCCCGGGGGGGTCCCGGGGGGGTCCCGGGGGGGGTCCCGGCTCACCCGGCCCGTAGGCCCGCGCCTTCTTGGGGTTGAGTTTGGGGCGCAGCGGCGCCCCCGGTTTGAGTTTGGCCTTGGGGAACTGGGACAGGTACGTCATGACCGAGTGCTCGTCCACGTTGGGGTCCACGATCTCCTCGGGGGTGATCACCTGCGGGGGACACCTGGACAGCTCAGGGTGGCACCTGGGACAGCTCAGGGACAGGGACAGCGCTGGTGGCACCTGGACAGGTCAGGGTGTCACCTGGGACAGGTGAGGGTGACACCTGGGACAGCTCAGGGACAGCGCTGGTGGCACCTGGACAGGTCAGGGTGGCACCTGGGACAGGTGAGGGTGGCACCGGGGACGGGGCTGGTGGCACCTGGGACAGCTCAGGGACAGGGCTGGTGGCACCTGGGACAGGGCTGGTGGCACCTGGGGCAGCTCAGGGACAGCACAGGGTGGCACCTGGGGTGGGGACAGCGCTGGTGCCACCTGGGACAGGTGAGGGACAGGGACAGGTGAGGGTGTCACCTGGGACAGGCGAGGGACAGGTGAGGGACAGCACAGGTGTGCGTGTCACTTAGGACAGGGACAAGGACAGGTGTGTGTGTGTCACCTGGGACAGGGACGGGGACAGGGTGGGGCAGAGCTCTGTGTCACCTGCGGGGGACAGGGATGGGGGGCAGTGTCCCCAGTGTCCCCAGTGTCCCCAATGTCCCCAAACCCCCCCAATGTCCCCAAGCCCCCCGTGTCCCCGTGTCCCCGTGTCACCTGCGGGATGCCCAGCCACTCGTCCGCCTGCTGCATGGCCTCGCGCGCGTTCTCCACGGGCCGGCTCGGGTCCCACGAGTCCCAGTCGGGGCACAGCCCTGGGGACACGGGGACACGCGGGGTCAGCCCAGCCTCAGGGCCACCAGTGTCCCCAGTGTCCATCCCCAGTGCCCCCGATGTCACCTGTGTCCATCTCGGTGACCCCAGTGTCCCCTGTGTCCATCCCCAGTGTCCATCCCAGTGTCCCCAGTGTCCCCAGCACTGCCACACCCAGGCACAGCCCTGGGGACACGGGGACACAGGTCAGCCCGGCCTCAGGGCCACCAGTGTCCCCAGTGTCCACCCCCAGTGCCCCCAGTGTCACCAGTGTCCACCCCCAGTGCCCCCGATGTCACCAGTGTCCATCCCAGTGTCCATCCCCTGCCCCCAGTGTCCCCAGTGTCCATCCCAGTGTCCCCAGTGTCCCCAGCACTGCCATACCCGGGCACAGCCCTGGGGACAGGGACATGGGGACACGGGGACACAGGTCAGCCCAGCCTCAGGGCCACCAGTGTCCCCAGTGTCCATCCCAGTGTCACCAGTGTCCACCCCCAGTGACCCCGATGTCACCAGTGTCCATCTCAGTGTCCCCATTGTCCATCACCAGTGACCCTGGTATCCATCCTGGTGTCACCAGTGTCCATCTCGGTGCCCCCAATGTCACCAGTGTCCATCTCAGTGTCACCAGTGCCCATCCCCAGTGCTCCCAGTGCCCATCCCAATGTCCCCATGTCCCCAATGTCCCCAATGTCCCCAGTGTCCCCAGTGTCCCCAATGTCCCCAATGTCCCCATGTCCCCATGTCCCCACTGTCCCCAATGTCCCCAGTGTCCCCAGTGTCCCCAGTGTCCCCAATGTCCCCAATGTCCCCAATGTCCCCAATGTCCCCAGTGCCCATCCCAGTGTCCCCAGTGTCCCCAATGTCCCCACTGTCCCCACTGTCCCCAGTGTCCCCAATGTCCCCAATGTCCCCAACGTCCCCAATGTCCCCATGTCCCTCACCGGGCGCACAGCTGTCCACCAGGGCCCCGAGGGCGCGGCCGCTCTGCCAGTCGCGGCTGAAGTTGGTGATGGGCACAGCTCCCAGTGCTCCCAGTGCCCATCCCAGTGCCCATCCCAGTGCCCATCCCAGTGCCATTCCCAATGTCCCCAATGTCCCCAGTGTCCCCGTGTCCCTCACCGGGCGCACAGCTGTCCACCAGCGCCCCGAGGGCGCGGCCGCTCTGCCAGTCCCGGCTGAAGTTGGTGATGGGCACAGCTCCCAGTGCTCCCAGTGTCCCCAGTGTCCATCCCCAGTGTCCATCCCCAGTGTCCCCATGTCCCCAATGTCCCTGTGTCCCTCACCCGGGGCACAGCTGTCCACCAGGGCCCCGAGGGCGCGGCCGCTCTGCCAGTCGCGGCTGAAGTTGGTGATGGGCAGCTGGGGCAGGCGGTTCTGGATCCAGCCCAGCAGCCGCTGCTTCGGCGTCTGGCGCTTGGCCTCCTCCTCATCCTCCTCGTCCCACATGGGCATGGAGATGGAGTAGTGCAGGATGAGCGTCCAGATCAGCCCCAGGATCAGCTTCAGGTTCCCGTCCACGATGGCCTTGCTGTCTGCGGGGACACGGGGACATTGGGGACATTGGGGACACCCCTGGGGACATTGGGGACCCAGATCAGCCCCAGGATCAGCTTCAGGTTCCCGTCCACGATGGCCTTGCTGTCTGCGGGGACATGGGGACATTGGGGACAGCAGGGACACCCCTGGGGACATTGGGGACACCCCTGGGGACACCCCTGGGGACATTGGGGACATCCCTGGGGACACTGGGGACACCCCTGGGGACATTGGGGACATCAGAGGTGTGGGGGACACTGGGGACACTGAGGGTATTGGGGGTATTGGGGACATTGGGGACATCAGGGGATGGGGGGACAAGGGGACACTGGGGACATGGGATGGGGAACGCCCTGCAGGGATGGGGGACACTGGGGACACCCCAAAAGGACAGGGGACACCCCACAGGGACAGGGGATGTTTGGGGACACCCCGAAAGGACAGGGGACGTTTGGGGACACCCCGAAAGGACAGGGGACACCCCACAGGGACAGGGGATGTTTGGGGACACCCCGAAAGGACAGGGGACGTTTGGGGACACCCCACAGGGACTGGGGACACCCCACAGGGACTGGGGACACTGGGGACACCCCAAAAGGACAGGGGACGTTTGGGGACACCCCGCAGGGACAGGGACCTGCCAGGGGCCACCCCGGGGAGGTGACAGCTCAGTGCCACCGCAGGGGTGGGGACAGGACCCAGCTCAGGTCGGGGACACCCAGGGACACCTGAGGGACACCTGGGGACATTTGGGGACACCTGAGGGACACCCTGAGGCCGCAGCACGGGGGTGGCAGGGCCACCAAGGGGGTCCTGTTGGGGACAGGGGCACAAGGGGGGTCCCAGGGGACCCTGTGGGGGGTTTTGGGGTGCCGGGCGTGTCCCCAGGTCCCCATTAAAAATTTTGGGGTGTCTGGGTGTGTCCCCATGGAGGTTTTGGGGTGTCTGGGTGTGTCCCCAAGTCCCCACGGAGGTTTTGGGGTGTCTGGGCGTGTCCCCAGGTCCCCACTGAGGTTTTGGGGTGTCTGGGCGTGTCCCCAAGTCCCGTTTTGGGGTGTCTGGGCGTGTCCCCAAGTCCCCGCTGAGGTTTTGGGGTGTCTGGGCGTGTCCCCCACCCCAGCAGCGCTCCCCAGTTCCTGTTACTGGTTTTGGGGTTTCGGGGCGCGGCCCCACCCCCCGCTGCGGTTTTTGGGGTGTCCGGGTGTGGCCCCGAGGCCCTTTTGGGGTTTCGGGGTGTCAGGGAAGGTTCCCAGCTCCCGTCACTGCTTTTGGGGGCCCTTTTGGGATTTTGGGGTCCCTTTTTGGGCTTTTTGGGGTCCCTTTTGGGCTTTTGGGGTCTCGGGACCAGTCCCAAACTCCCTTTGGGGATTTTTGGGGTGTCCGGAGCATCCCGAGTTCCCGTCACTGATTTTGTGGTTTTTGGGGTCTCGGAGCCGGTTCCCAGTTCCCGTTCCCGTTTTTGGGGTCCCTTTCGGGATTTTTGGGGTCCCTTTTGGGGTTTTGGGGCTCTCAGCCGTGTCCCATCCCCGTTGCCGTTTTTTGGGGTCCCTTTGGGGATTTTTTTGGGTCCCTTTTGGGATTTTTGGGGTCCCTTTTGGGGTTTTTGGGCTCTCACCCGTGTCCTGTCCCCATTTCCGTTTTTTGGGGTCCCTTTTGGGATTTTTGGGGTCCCTTTTGGGGGTTTTGGGCTCTCAGCCGTGTCCCGTCCCCGTCCCCGTTTTTGGGGTCCCTTTGGGGTTTTTGGGGTCCTTTTGGGGGTTTTTGGGGTCCCTTTTGGGATTTTTGGGGTCCCTTTTGGGATTTTTGGGGTCCCTTTTGGGATTTTTGGGTCCCTTTTGGGGTTTTGGGGCTCTCAGCCGTGTCCCATCCCCGTCCCCGTTTTTGGGGTCCCTTTTGGGGTCCCTCGGGGCCTTCCCGGGTGTCCCCACCCCCCCCGGGTCTGCCCCGCCCCCCTCGCGCGGGTTTTTGGGGGGAGGGGCCGCTCTGGCCCCGCCCCCCGCTCGGGGGGGGTTTGGGGCGGATTTTGGGGGTGGGGGAGGGGCGGGGCCGGTGGGGGATGGGCCGCGGCCCCTCCCCCCCCGCTCCAGCATTTTTTGGCCTTATAAGGGCTCGGCACGGCCGAGGCCCCGCCCCCAGCCCCACCCCCCCGGGACCCCCCCCCAAAACCTCCGGGACCCCCGAGACCCCCCCGAGACCCCCCGGGACCCCCCCGGGACCCCCCAGCGGCGCCCCCTCCCCAAATTCCGCGCTGGGAGAAGGGGCCGGACCCTCCCCCCCCCCCTTAATTTTGGGGTCGCCGCAAATTGGGGGAGGGGGGAGCCTAAATTGGGGGGGGGCAAATTGGGGAGGGGTCCTAAATTGGGGGGGGTCCCAAATAGGGCCCTGTAAAAGGGGGGAGCCCCCCGGGGGTGGGGAGGGGTCTCCAGGACCCCCCCCTTTAATTTTGGGGTCCTAAATTGGGGGGAGGGTCTGAATTAGGGGCGTGTCCCAAATTTGGGGGGGGGTCTCAAACGGAGCCCCCCAGGGGTGGGGAGGGGTCTCCCAGAGCCCCCCCAGGGTGGGATTGGGGGGGAGGAGCCTCCAAAGCCCCGCCCTAAATGTGAGGGGGGGTCCCCAAAATATTCCCGGGGGGAGCTCATAAAGGGGAGGGGTCTCAGGGCCCCCCCATCACTCTGGGGTAATTTGGGGAGGGGTCTCTGCGCCCCCTGGGACCCCCCAAATTATCGAGGGGGGTTCACCCTGTCCAGGACCCCCCCCCAATTTCGGGGTCCTTTTTGGGGAGGGGTCTCCCCAATTGGGACCAGTTGGATGCTCCCCCTCTTGGAGACCCCTCCCCATTTTTGGGGTCTCCCAGCGGGACCCCCCCCCCAATTTCCGGGGCCTTTTGGGGTCGGGGTCCCGCCCCCTCCTCACCATTAGAACCAGTCCGAGCTTCCCCTCCGCAGAGACCCCTCCCCATTTTGGCCTCCGGGGGTCTCCCAGGTGCCCCCCCCCCCATTTCTGGGGGTCCCCCAGGAGCCCCCTCCCCAAATTCCGGGGCCCATTTTGGGGAGAATTCGCCGCTTTTTCCCCACCGGGACCCGCCCCGCTCCTCCCCCGGGGACCCCTCCCCTTCCTCCGCAGGCCGGGGGTCCCCCAGCGGACCCCTCCTCACATTTCAGAGCTCGCGGCCCCTCCAGGAGACCCCTCCCCAAATTCCCGGGCCCATTTTGGGGCGAATTCTCCACTTTTTCATCAACACAAACCGCTCCCATCTCCCTTTTTCCCCCTAAAATCCGATTTTCTCCACAATTCCCATTCCCCCATCCCGCCCCGAACCCCCGGAGGTTTTTTGGGGGGTGGTCGCACGCCCCCTCCCCCAATTCCTGACATCCTTCCAGGGTTTTTTGCCCCCTCCCCACCAACACAAATCGCTCGAATTTCCTTTTTTTCCCCCAAAATTTCAGGGCTCCGTAACTGCCACTCCCCCCACAGCCCCACCCCGAGCTCCGCGCTCTTTTTGGGGGGTGGTCGCGCGCCCCCTCCCCAATTTCCGAGACCTTTTTAGGGCAAATCCATCCCCTTTTTATCAAAAAACCAGAAATACTCATTTCTGCCTCTTTTTCTCCCAAAAAAATCCAACTCCTGCCCAGCTGCCGCTCCCTCCCCAGGCCTGAACTTTGCTGGGGGGTGGTCGCACGCCCCCTCCCCAATTTCTGACCCTTTCCTGACCCATTTCCACCCTTTCTTCACTAAATTAACCACTCCAATCTGATTTTACCCCAAAATTCCAACTCCTCCCTAACTTCCACACCCCCCAAAACTTCCCGGGGGGGGTGATGGTGGGTGATCTCACGCCCCCTCCCCAATTTCTGACCCATTTCCAGCCTTTCCTCACCGAATAAACCACTCCAACCTCATTTTCCCCCCAAAATCCCAACTCCTCTGTAACCCCCACCCCCTCCCCACCCCCCAAAACTTCCAAAACTTCCCGGGGGGGGCTGGTCTCACGCCCCCTCCCCAATTTCTGACCCTTTCCTGATCCATTTCCACCCTTTCCTCACCGAATAAACCACTCCAACCTCTTCCCCCCCCTCCAAAATCCCAACTCCTCCGTACCCCCAAAACTTTCCGGGGGAGGGCGGGGTGGTCGCACTCCCCCTCCCCAATTTCTGACCCTTTCCTGACCCTTTTCCACCCTTTCTTCACCAAATAAACCACTCCAACCTCATTTTCCCCCCAAAATCCCAACTCCTCCGTACCCCCATCCCCTCCCCACCCCCTCCCCACCCCTCTCGCCCCCTCCCCACCCCGCTCGCCCCCTCCCCACCCTCCCCACCCCCTCCCCACCCGGCTCTCACCGATGGACACCAGTTTGATGTTCTCCCTCTCCAGGAACTCGAGCGCCACCGAGACGTTCTCGAGCTGCATCTGGCGGAACGTGGGGCGCGCGTTGTACTTGCGGCCCATCTGCTTCTGGCTCAGCACCTCGAGCAGCGCGATCAGGCGCAGCCCGTCCCCGAGGTCGGTCTGCAGGTTCCCCACGCGCTTCTGGACGCATTTCAGGTGCTCGTTGCACCAGCGGGTGAAGGTGTTCTGCTGGATGCGCTTCCAGGGCGCGTCCTCCGCCAGGTCCTTCTCCGTGGAAGGCATCTCGGGCTCCGCGTCCGCGCGGCCCCGCCCGCCCGCGGCGCTCATGGCGGGACGGGGCGGGGGCTGCGGGGAGAGAGGGGGGAGAGAGGGGCGTGAGGAACGGGGGGAGAGGGGCGGGGGCTGCGGGACAGGGGAGGGGAGAGGGGCGTGAGGGAGAGGGGAGGGGAGAAGAGAGAGGGGAGAGAGGGAGGGGAGGGACCGGAGAGGGGAGGGGGCAGTGAGGAACGGGAGAGGGGAGGGGGCGGAGAGAGGAATCCCCCAAATGGGGGGGGGGGTGGTGGTAACGGGGATCCGGATAACGGGGATCCCTAAAATGGGGGCGCTGAGAGAGGGAGCTCCTAAATGGGGAGGGGGCGGAGAGAGGAGCCCCTAATGGGGGGCAGAGAGGAAGCCCCTAAATGGGGGGGGGGGGTGAGAGGGAGCCCCTAATGGGGGGGGGGGAGGAGAGCGGGCATCCGGATAACGGGGATCGGATAACGGGGATCCGGATAACGGGGATCCCCAAAATGGGGCGGGGTGAGAGAGGGGATCCGGATAACGGGGATCCGGATAACGGGGATCCCCAAAATGGGGAGGGCTGAGAGTGCGGATCCCCAAAATGGGGCGGGGGGTGAGAGCGGGGATCCGGATAACGGGGATCGGATAACGGGGATCCCCAAAATGGGGGGGAGGGGGCGGAGAGAGGAGCTCCTAATGGGGGGGGGAGAGAGGGAGCCCCTAAATGGAGGCGGGGGGAGAGCGGGGATCTGGATAACGGGGATCGGATAACGGGGATCCCCTAAATGGGGCGGGAGGTGAGAGTGGGGATCCCCTAAATGGGGGGGCGGAGAGAGGGAGCTCCTAATGGGGGGGGGGAGGGAGCCCCTAAATGGGGGGGGGGGTGAGAGAAGGAATCCTGGTAACGGGGATCCCCAAAATGGGGGCGCTGAGAGAGGGGATCCCCTAAATGGGGGGGCGGAGAGCGGGCATCCGGATAACGGGGATCGGATAACGGGGATCCCCAAAATGGGGGGGAGGGGGCGGAGAGAGGGGATCCCCAAAATGGGGGGGGGAGAGAGGGAGCTCCTAAATGGGGAGGGGGAGGGAGCCCCTAAACGGGAGAGGGGGGAGCGGGGATCCGGATAACGGGGATCGGATAACGGGGATCCGGATAACGGGGATCCCCAAAATGGGGCGGGGTGAGAGAGGGGATCCGGATAACGGGGATCGGATAACGGGGATCCCCAAAATGGGGGCGGGGGGGTGGTAACAGGGATCCAGATAACGGGGAGCGCGGTAACTGGGCAGCTGATAATGGGGATCCGGATAACGGGGATCCCCAAAATGGGGGGGGGGGGGTGAGAGAGGGAACCCCTAAATGGGGGGGGAGAGGGAGCCCCTAAATGGGGGGGGGGGGGGGGGTGAGAGAGGGGATCCTGGTAACGGGGATCCGGATAACGGGGATCCCAAAATGGGGGCGCTGAGAGAGGGATCCCCTAAATGGGGCGGGGGGCGGGGAGCGGGGATCCCCTAAATGGGGGTTGGAGAGCGGGCATCCGGATAACGGGGATCGGATAACGGGGATACCCAAAATGGGGGGGAGGGGGTGGAGAGAGGGGATCCCCTAAATGGAGCAGAGGTGGGAGAGATAACGGGGGTACTGATAATGGGGATCCCCAAAATGGGGGGGGGGTGGTAACGGGGATCCGGATAACGGGGATCCCAAAATGGGGGGACTGATAACGGGGGTACTGATAACGGGAGATCCCCAAAACGGGGGATCCTGATAACGGGGGATGCTGATAACGGGACATTCCCAAAATGGGGATCTGGAGAGTGGGGAGCGCGGTAACGGGGGTGCCGATAGCAGGGATGCCCAAAATCGGGAATGCTGATAACGGGGATCCTGATAACGGGACATTCCCAAAATGGGGGAGGCTGATAACGGGGAATTCCCAAAACTGGGGATCCTGATAACAGGGATCCCAAAACGAGGGATCTCCAAAACAGGAGATCCTAGTCAAGGGGGATGCTACTAATGAGGGGTGCTAATTATGGGGGATTGTGATAATGGGAGAGTGCATAACGGGGGACCCCAATAATGGGGGACCCCAAAAATGGAGGATCCCATAATGAGGGGTCCTAATAATGGGGGAGATCCCGAATTAGGGGTGCTCAGAATGGGGGGTCCTTATAATGGGGCTCACGATAATGGGGAGCCCAAAGCAGGCGACCCCAAAAAGGGGGATCCCGATAATGGGGGATGCTAATGAGGGGGGAGAGCTGCAATGGGGGGGTCCTAATAATGGGGGGGTCCCAATAATGGGGGGTCCTAATAATGGGGGGGTCCTAATAATGGGGGGGTCCCAACAATGGGGGGTCCTAATAATGGGGGATCCCAACAATGGGGGATGTGGCAGTCGGGCAGATCCAGAATGGGGGATCCTATAATGGGGAACCCCAATAATGAGGGATCCTGATAATGGGGGAGCCCAAAATGGGGGATCCCAATAATGGGGGACCCTCAAAATGAGGGATCCCATAGTGAGGGACCCCCAAAATGAAGGGATCCCATAATCGGGAGATCCCCGGAGTGAGGGACCCCAATAATGAGAGATTCCCATAATGGGGGATCCCCGTAATGAAGGACCCCAATAATGGGGGACCCCCACAATGGGGGAATCCCGTAGTGGGGGACCCCCCGAGCATCTTCACCTGGGCACCCCCAAAAGGAGGGACCCCAATAAGGGGGGGATGACCACAAGCGGAAACCCTAATAATAATGGGGGACCCCCAAATGAGGGACCCTCCTCAAGCTCCCTCAGCGTTCCGGGGTGCCCCAAGTTAGGGGCCCCAAAATTGGGGGGCTCAGGGGAGGGTCCCCGCCCTGTTGCCCCCTCCCCATTCCCGGGGTCCCAGACTCCCCTAGAAAGGCCCCCCCGACCCCAAAGGTGGCCCCAAGTAGGGACCCCCGCCCCAAAAAGGGGGGCCCAGCCACTCCAGGCTCCTCAGACCCCCCCCAAAAAAGGGGGGGGTCCCCAACCCCATTAGGGGGTCCCCAGCCCCCAGAGGCCCCCAGGGGTCTCTCAAGGGGGTCCCCCAAAATCGGGGTCCCCCATTATGGCGTTCCCCCAGCCCCATTTGGGGGTCCCCAGCCCCATTTTGAGGGGCTCTCAAGGGGGTCTCGGACCCCAAAATCGGGGTCACCCCTTGGGGGGTCCCCCAGCCCCATCGGGGGAGCCCCGAACTCGGGGTTCCCCTCGCGCCCCCCGCCCACCCAAAGCTCCCCCAAACCCCGCGGTCCTGGCGGGGGTCCCGGGGGGGTTCGGGGGTCCCGGGGGGGTTCGGGGGTCGGGACCGGGGGGTCGGTGCCACCCGGGGGTGCCAGTCCCGCTGCTCCCGGTGGTCCCGGGGGTCCCGGGGCTCAGGGGGGTCCCGGGGGTCCCGGTGGTCCCGGGGCTCAGGGGGGTCCCGCTGGTCCCGGGGGGTCCCGGGGGCTCGGGGGGTCCCGGGGGTCCCGGGGGGGTCCCGGGGCTCGGGGGGGTCCCGGGGGGGTCCCGGGGGTCCTCACCTCCTGGTCGGTCTCGGTGCTCCCGGGGTCGGGACCCGGCGGTCCCGGGGTGGGGCTGGGCAGTCCCGCCGGTGCCGGTGCCGGTCCCGGGGAGGGTTTAGTGGTCCCGGGGATGGTTCGGTGGTCCCGGGCTGGGCTCGGTGCCGGTACCGGGGATGGGTCGGTGGTACCGGGGGTGGTTCGGTGGTCCCGGGCTGGGCTCGGTGCCGGTCCCGGGCTGGGCTCGGTGGCCCCGCGGGTGGCGGTGCCGGTACCGGGGGTGGTTCGGTGGTCCCGGGGATGGGTCGGTGGTACCGGGGGTGGTTCGGTGGTCCCGGGCTGGGCTCGGTGCCGGTCCCGGGCTGGGCTCGGTGGCCCCGCGGGTGGCGGTGCCGGTACCGGGGATGGGTCGGTGGTACCGGGGATGGTTCGGTGCCGGTACCGGGGATGGTTCGGCGGTACCGGAGAGGTGCCGGTGGCCCCGCGGTGGCGGTGCCGGTCCCGGAGCTCGCGCGGCGCGCGCGGAGCCTTAATTGGTAACGAGAGGAACGAGCCCCGCCCCGGGGGGGGCCGGGGGGGGCGGGGAGGGGCTGGGGGGGCTCGGGGACCCCTAAAAGGGGGAGGGGGGATTTGGGGAGCCCATAAAGGGGGAGGGGCGGATCGAGGGGGGATCCGGGGGTCCCCATGGGGGGGGGGATGGGATTTTGGGGAGGGGGTGAGGAAGGAGGGACTTATGGGGGGATTCCATAGGGTGGGGGGCGATGGGGACCCCCTGGGAGAGCTCTGGGGGGGATTTTTGGGGTGGGGAGGGGTCCGGGGACCCCCTGGGGTGGGATTTTGGGGGGGTCGAGGATGGGGGGAGGGGTCATGGGGGGATCCATAGGGTGGGGGGGATCCATAGGGTGGGGGGGGGTCATGGGGGCACTTTGGGGTCGGGGGGTCAGGGGGACCCCAAAGTGTGGGGGAGGGGCTCCCTGGGGGTCTGTGAGGGGCTCTATAGGGCGGGGGGGGGGCCATGGGGGAGGGGCTGTGGGGCACGAGGGACCCCCAGGATCCCATAGGGTGTCACAGGCCCCATGGATCCTATAGGGTGCCACAGGGCCTATGGATCCCATAGGGTGTCACAGGGGCTATAGGGTCCTATAGGGTGTCACAGGGCCCTATAGGATCCCATAGGGTGTCACAGGGCCCCATGGATCCTATAGGGTGTTACAGCCCCATGGGTCTACAGGGTGTCACAGCCCCATAGATCCTATAGGGTCTCACAGCCCCATGGATCCCATAGGGTGTCACAGGGGCTATGGATCCTATAGGGTGTCACAGGGCCCTATGGATCCCATAGGGTGTCACAGGCCCATGGATCCTATAGGGTGTCACAGCCCCATAGATCCCATAGGGTGTCACAGGCCCTATAGGATCTCACAGGGTTCTATGGGCTCTCTGTGGGGTCTGGGATCCCTATGGGGTCTCTATAGGGTTTGGGGTCTCTGTGGGGTCTCTATGGGGTCTGGGCTCTCTATGGGGGCGAGGGTCCCTATGGAGTCTCTATGGGGTCCCTATAGAGTCTCCATAGGGTTTGGGGTCTCTATAGGGTCCCTGTGGGTTCTCTATACGGTCCCTGTGGGGTTTGGGGTCCCTATGGGGTCTGGGGGTCCCTGTGGGGTCTCTATAGGGTCTCTATGGGGTCTCTATAAGGTCTGGGGTCTCTATGGGGTCCCTGTGGGGTCTGGGGGTCTCTGTGGGGTCTCTGTGGGGTCCCTATGGGGTCTCTATGGGGTTCCTATAGGGTCTCTATAGGGTTTGGGGTCCCTATGGGGTCCCTATAGGGTCTGTCTGGGGTCCCTGTGGGGTTTGGGGGTCCCTATAGGGTCTGGGGTCTCTATGGGGTCCCTATGGGGTCCCTGTGGGGTCTCTATAGGGTTTGGGGTCCCTATGGGGTCCCTATAGGGTCTCTATGGGGTCTCTCTGGGGTCTCTATGGGGTCTCTATAGGGTCTGGGGTCCCTATGGGGTTTGGGGTCTGTGTAGGGTTTGGGGTCCCTATAGGGTCTCTATAGGGTCTGGGGTCCCTGTGGGGTCTCTATGGGGTCTCTATGGGGTCTCTATGGGGTCTCTATGGGGTCCCTGTGGGGTCTGGGGCCCCTATGGGGTCTCTGTGGGGTCCCTATGGGGTTTGGGGTCCCTATGGGGTCTCTCCTCCCCCGCCCCTCCCCCCTCAGGAAGCTCCGGGCGGCCCCGATAACGAAGGGAGGAAATGGGGGCGCTAATTACGGCGTTAATTATGGCGCTAATTACGGACAGGCTCCTTATCGCGGCGTGCCAGGGGTTAATTAAGGAAAGGGGCCCTGGGGGGGTTCCGGGGTTAATTAGGGAAAGTTAATTAAGGGGTTATGGGGGGAGTTCTGGGGTTAATTACTGAGGAACTGAGGAGTTCATTAATGGGGGTTCAGTATCACATTAATTACTGGGGAGCTCATTAGTGGGAGTTCATTAAAGGGAGTTAATTATGAGGTTAATTACTGAGGAGTTCATTAACGAAGCTCTCACTGTGGGCGCTCATTAACGGGGCAGTTCAGGCCTTAATTAGGGGTTCGGTTAATGGGGCTCATCAACAGCGAATCACTAACGAGGCGTTCGTTAATGAGACTTTAATTACAGTGCTGCGGGCAGGCCAGTGACCTGGGCCACGCCCACACCTGGGCCACGCCCACATCTGGGTCACACCTGGGTCACACTTTGGGTGGGGTCAGGGCCACACCCACCTGGCCACGCCCACCTGTGCCACACCCCTGGGTGGGGCCAAGGCCACGCCCCCCCAGGTCCCCTCCCCCACAGACGCAGCAGACACACCTGGGGACAGGTGGGACACACTTGAGGACAGGTGTGACACACACAGGGACAGGTGTGACACACCTGGGGACAGGTGGGACACACTCAAAGGTGCCACAGGTGTGTCACAGACCTGTCACAGGGGTCACACTCACACAGGTGTGTCCCAGGTGTGACACACACACTCCGATGTGTCCCTGGTGTCACTCACACTGTCCCAGGTGTGTCCCAGGTGTGTCCCACACACTCAGGTGTGCCACAGGTGTCCCCCCAGGTGTCCCCTCCGTGTCACACCTGAGGCCGCCAGGTCCTGCCACACCTGCAAAGACACACATTTTTAGGATTTCCCCCCCACTTTTAGGATTTCCCCCCATTTTTAGGATTTCCCCCCCCTTTTTAGGCTTCCCCTCCCCATCCCAAATTTCCCCCACCCCCTCCCCATTTTTAGGGATTTTCCTCCTTTTTTAGGGATTTTTCTCCCTTTTTCTACAATCCCAAATTTCCCTGGGGGGGGGGGGGGGGGAAATCTCCACTATCCCCTCCCCCTTTTCAGGATCCCCTTCCCCGGAATTTTTTAGGATTTCTCCCCCCAAATGACATTTTTAAAGGGATTTTCCCCATTTTTGGGGATTTTTTTTCCACAATCCCGAATTTTCCCGGGGGGGGGGGGTTTTGATTTCTCCATTTTCCCCTCCCCCTTCATTTCCCATCCCTAAAATCCCCCCCCAAATCCCCAAAATCCCCAAAATCCCAAATCCCTTTTGGCCCCATCCCGATGATCTCATCCCGCCCGGAATTTGGGTTGGGGGGGGGGGATTTGGGGGGGTGATGACGTCACGGCGGGGGGGGCGGGGTGGGAATTTTGGAATTTTGGAATTCGGGCTGAGTCACGGCGGATCGGGATAAACACGGGATCCGCTGCCCTTATAGGGCCCGAAAAGCACCGGGAAGGGCCCCCCCGATCCCAAAAATAAATCCCAGGAATTTGGGAGGTCCCAAAGGAGCCCCCCCCCCCCGAAAATCCCAAATTTTGTACCCAAAATCCCACAAAAAAACCCAAAAAAACCCCTCCTGGACTTACCGGGGGGGCTGGAAGCGCTGGGAGAGGGGGGGGATTTGGGGTTCTGGGGGGGGATAAAAAAAGGGTTTGGGGTTAAAAGGGACCCCCCAAATCCTAAAAATTCACCCCAATCCCATCATTGTGTCTAATCCTATAAATCCTAAAAGTTTCCCCCGCCAAAATGATGTAAAATGGCTGAAATCCTATAAAATCACCCAAAAAACCCCTAAAAAATTCACATAAGTGACTCCCCCAACCCCATAAGATCCTAAAGAAAATCAGATAAAATTGCACAAATCCTATAAACCCCCCAAATCCTATAAACCCCCAAAATCCTATAAACCCCCCCAAATCCTATAAACTCCCCCAAATCCTATAAACTCCCCCAAATCCTAAAACTTTCCCCCCCACAAAATGCTGTAAAATGGCTGAAATCCTATAAAATCACCCCAAAAAACCCAAAAAGATTGATACAAGTGACCCCCCAAACCCCATAAAATCCTCAAGAAAATCCCCTTAAAATGGCCCAAATCCTATAAACTCCCCCAAATCCTAAAAGTTCCCCCCCAAAAATGATCCTGATGCCATAAAATGATCAAATCCTATAAAATCACCCCAAAAACCCCTAAAAAATTCACATAAGTGACCCCCCCTACCCCATAAAATCCCTCCCCACAAAAATCCCAAATTTTTGGGCAGTTTTTGGGGCTGTTTCAGGTGGTTTTGGGGCAGTTTTTGGGGTGTTTTCGGGGCACTTTGGGGCAGTTTTTTGGGTACTTTGGGGCAGTTTTTTTGGCAGTTTTTGGGGTGGTTTTGGGGCAGTTCTTGGGGTGGTTTTGGCAGTTTTTGGGGTGTATTTGGGGCATTTCTGGGCACTTTGGGGTATTCTAGGAGAGTTTTTGGGGTATTCTAGGGGAGTTTTTTGGGTGTTTTGGGTCAGTTTTTGGGGTGTTTTGGGTCAGTTTTTGGGGTGTTTCGGGGCAGTTTTTGGGGTGTTTTGGGTCAGTTTTTGGGGTGTTTTGGGGCAGTTTTTAGGGACATTTTGGGTCAGTTTTTGGGGTGTTTTGGGGCAGTTTTTGGGGTACTTCGGGGCAGTTTTTGGGGACATTTTGGGGCAGTTTTGGGGTGTTTTGGGTCAGTTTTTAGGGACATTTTGGGGCAGTTTTTGGGGTACTTCGGGGCAGTTTTTGGGGTGTTTTTGGCAGTTTTTGGGGTGTTTTGGGTCAGTTTTTAGGGACATTTTGGGGCAGTTTTTGGGGTGTTTTGGGTCAGTTTTTAGGGACATTTTGGGGCAGTTTTTGGGGTGTTTTTGGCAGTTTTTGGGGTGCCCCCCAGACTCACCGATGGCCTCGGTGACCCCCCCCAGCCGTGTCACCTCCCCCGCGCTGGCCCCGAGCTGGGTCAGGGTCCCCAAAACCTGGGGGGGGAGGGGAGGGAGGGGCGTGGGGTCACAGCCCCTCCCCCCATCGGGTGTGACCCCCCCCCACCCCAAAATAAAGCAGAGACCCCCCCCCAAAAAAGGGGGTTGGGACCCCAAAAAGGGTTTGGGACCCCTCAAATCCCCCCCATAGGGCACAGAGACCCCCCCCAGCCCCATTTTGGGACCCCCAAATTCCCCCCATGAACCCAAATCCCCTGAGACCCCTCCCCAAAAATCCCCCAAATCCCTCTGAGCCCCCCAAACCGAGCCCCCCTCCCCAAATTCCCTCCAAAAATCCCCCAAATCCAAACCCCCTCCCCAAATTTGCTCAAAAATCCCCCAAATCCAAACCCCCTCCCCAAATTCGCTCAAAAATCCCCCAAATCCAAACCCCCTCCCCAAATTCCCTCCAAAAATCCCCCAAATCCAAACCCCCTCCCCAAATTTGCTCAAAAATCCCCCAAATCCAAACCCCCTCCCCAAATTTGCTCAAAAATCCCCCAAATCCAAACCCCCTCCCTAAATTCCCTCCAAAAATCCCCCAAATCCAAACCCCCTGCCCAAATTCCCTCCAAAAATCCCCCAAATCCAAACCCCCTCCCCAAATTCCCTCCAAAAATCCCCCAAATCCAAACCCCCTCCCCAAATTCCCTCCAAAAATCCCCCAAATCCAAACCCCCTCCCCAAATTCCCTCCAAAAATCCCCCAAATCCAAACCCCCTCCCCAAATTTGCTCAAAATCCCCCAAATCCAAACCCCCTCCCCAAATTCCCTCCAAAAATCCCCCAAATCCAAACCCCCTCCCCAAATTTGCTCAAAATCCCCCAAATCCAAACCCCCTCCCCAAATTCACTCCAAAAATCCCCCAAATCAAAACCCCCTCCCCAAATTTGCTCAAAAATCCCCCAAATCCAAACCCCCTCCCCAAATTCCTCCCAAAATTTCCCCCCTCACCTGGCCGAGATTCCGCAGCCCCCTCCCCACAGGGGGGACCCGGCCCCCTTCCCCCCAAATTTGGGGGGTCCTGGGGGGTGCCAGGGGGCCCCGGAGCTCAGAGGCCCCAAAATCTGCAGCCAACGAGGTCAGAGTCCCCACCAGGACCCCCAAATTTGGGGGGGAGGGGGCCGGGGACCCCCCTAAATTTGACAGCTGAAGAGTGAAAGGGTTAACAGATGGGGAAACCCCAAAAAAACCAAAATTCACCCCAAAAAGACCCCAGACTCACCTGGAGCTGCTTCACCCCATACTGGGACCCCCAAAATTTCCCCCAACCCCCCCAGGGACCCCCCAAATTCCCCCCCAGAGAACCCAGGGCCCCCCAAAAGCCTCTCAGACCCCCCCCCATAGGACCCAGGGACCCCCAAGTCCCCCCAAAATCCCAAAATTCCCCCCAAATCCCCCCAGTTGACCCCAAACCCCCAAATCTCCCCCCAAAATCCCCCCAATTGACCTCAAACCCCCCAAACTCCCCCCACAATTTGCCCCAATTGACCTGAAAGCCCCCAAATCTCCCCCCAAAATCACCCAACCCCTCCAAATTGCCCCAACTGACCCCAAATCTCCCCCAAACCCCTCAAATCTCCCCCCAAACCCCCCCCAATTGACCCCAAACCCCCAAATCTCCCCCCAAATTGCCCCAATTGACCCCAAACCCCCCAAAGCCCCCAGCCCCACCTGGGCCTGCAGCTCCTCCAGGCCCCGCCGGACCCCCCCCAATTCCGCCTCCAATTCGGGGAGGGGTCTCCTGGGGGGGCAGCAAAATGAGGGGGGGGTCAGGTGAGGATTTTGGGGTGAGGGGAGCCCGGGGGGGTCCCCAAAACCCACCTGGGTCGAGGGGGGGTCTCGGAGAGCTCCACAGGAACTGGGGGGGGGGCGGGGGTCTCAGGGCCGCCCCCCCCTCGGGGGTCTCCAGCAGCTTCAGCAGGAACTGGGTGGTTTGGGGGGGCCTTTTTGGGGGGAAAATGGGATTTTGGGGGGATTTGAGGGGATTTTGGGTGTATTTGGGGGGATGTTGGGGGGATTTTGGTAGATTTGAGGGCATTTTGGGTGGTTTTGGGGGGATTTTGAGGGGATTTGGGGACACTTTGGGGGGATTTTGAGGGGATTTGGGGGTATTTGGGTGGATTTTGGGGCTGGGGGTATCAGGGGGGTGTGTGGGGGGGTCCAGACCTGGTTTTGGGGGGGGTCTCAAGGGGGGGGACGGCGTCCAGAAGGTCCTGGAGGAACTGGAGCTGCTGCTCGGGGGGGGCTGTGCCCTGAAGGAGAGACCCCAGACCCAAAATCCATCAGAGAACCCCAAAATTCCTCAAATCCCCCCCAAAATCCTCAAATCCTCCCCAGTTTTCCCTCCCCCCACCCCTTCCAGGCTCCCCAAAACACCCCAGAGACCCCAAAAATCCCCAAACTCCCCAATTTTCTTTTTTCCTCCCCCTCCAAACCACCCCAAAAGTCCCCAAAATCTCCAAATCCCTCCCAAAAATCCCCAAATCTCCCCCAGCTTTCCCTCCTCCACCCCCTCCAACTTTACAAAACCACCCCAGACACCCCAAAAAACCCCAAAAATCTCAAAATCCTCCCCCATTTTCCCCCCTCCACCCCTTCCAGGCACCCGAAAATCTCCAAATACCCCCCAAAATCCCCAAATTCCCCCCCAAAATCCCCAAATTTCCTCCAATTTTCTTTCTGCCACCCCCTCCAGCCCCCCAAAACCCCCAAATTTCCCCAAAATCCCCCAAAATCCCCACCTCCACCAGGGCGAGGTCGTCGGCCCTGCAGAGCATCAGCTGCGCTCCCAGCCTGGCCAGCGCTGGGGTGGGGGGCACTGGTTAAACTGGGAGGGGTTGGGGGGTTTGGGGGGGATTTTGGGGGTTTTCGGTGGTTTTGGGGGGTTTTAGGCTTTTTTGGGGATTTTTAAGGGAATTTTTGAGAGGTTTTGGGTTTTTCAGGGGGGTTTTTGATGGGATTTTGGGGTTTTTGGGGGGAATTTTTGGAGGGGTTTTGGGGTTTTTTTAGGGGGGGACTGGGGAATTTCTGAGGGGATTTTTGGGGTTTTTTTGGGGGCATTTTAGAGGGGATTTTGGGGTTTTTTGGAGGGGGATTTTGGAGTATTTTGGGGGAATTTTTGGAGGGGTTTTTGGGGGGTATTTTTGGAGGGGTTTTGGGGTTTTTTTAGGGGGGGAACTGGGGAACTCCTGAGGGGATTTTGGGGGTTTTTTTGGGGTATTTTAGAGGGGATTTTGGTTTTTTTTTGAGGGGGATTTTGGAGTATTTGGGGGGATTTTTGGAGGGATTTGGGGTTTTTTTAGGTGGGGACTGGGGAATGTCTGAGGGGATTTTTGAGGGTATTTTGGGGAGATTTTTGGAGCGGGTTTTGGGGTTTTTTGGAGGGGGATTTTGGAGTATTTCGGGGGGATTTTTAGAGGGGTTTTGGGTTTTTTTTTGGGGGTATTTTAGAGGGGATTTTGGGGTTTTTTTGGAGGGGGATTTTGGATTATTTTGGGGGGATTTTTGGAGGGGGTTTTGGGTTTTTTTGGAGGGGGATTTTGGAGTATTTCGTGGGGATTTTTGGAGGGGGTTTTGGGGGGTATTTTTGGAGGGGTTTGGGGTTTTTTTTAGGGGGGGGCTGGGGAATTTCTGAGGGGATTTTTGGGGTTTTTTGGGGGATTATTTTAGAGGGGATCTTGGGTGGTTTTTTTGGGGTATTTTAGGGGGGATTTAGGGTTTTTTTGGAGGGGGATTTTGGAGTATTTCGGGGGGATTTTTGGAGGGGTTTTGGGGATTTTTGGGGGGGTCTCACCCCTCATTTCATCCTCCTCAGGGAGTGACTCCAGCTCGGCGCTGAGGGGGGGATAAACCCTGGTGGGGGGAGGGGTCTGGGGTTATTTGGGACCACCCAGGACCACATTTTGGGGTCACTCACCCCCATTTTGGGACCCCTCAATCTTGGGGTGCCCCCCCATTTTGAGACCCCCCCATTTTGGGGTTCCTCCACCTCATTTTGGAACCCCTCCCACCCCGATTTTGGAGTCCCCCAGCCCCATTTAAGAGTTCCCCCCCCCCCAATTTGGACCTCCCCCACTCCCATTTGAGATTCCCCCCCCCCCATTTTAGTGCCCACCATTTTAGGACCCCCCAATTTTGTGGTTTTCCCCCCACATTTTAAGTTCTTCCCCCCCCATTTTAGGATGCCCCCCCATTTTCGGGTGCCCCCTCTTATCTTAGAGTCCCCCCCACTTTTTGAGTTCCCCCCCCCATTTTGGGACCCTCCTTACCCCTATTTTGGGGTCCCCCACCCCCATTTTCATTCCCCCCACTCCCATTTTGGTGCCCACCCCCATTTTGGGACTCCCCAATTTTAGGGCGCCCCCCCCCATTTTGGTGCCCCGCCATTTTGCGATCCCTCCCACCCCCATTTTGGGACCCCCCCACCCCATTTTGGTGTCCACCCCCATTTTGGGACCCCCCCCCCATTTTGGTGCCCACCCCCATTTTGGGACCCCCAATTTTGGGGTCCCCCCGTACCGGGTGCAGGCCCAGCGCAGCAGGGCCCGCCGGGGGGGGGAGGGGCGGCAGAGCAGCTCCAGCGCCGCGGGGGGGGCGCGGGGGGGGCCCCCCAAAACCGGGGGGCACGAGAGAGCCTGGGGGGGGGGGCAAAAATTGGGGAAGGGGGGTCAGAAATATTGGGGGGTAAAAATGGGGGGGGTCACAAAGGCTGAAGTGGGGGAGGGGTCAGGGATTCATTTTGGGGGGGGGCACCGAAGGCTCTGGGGGGAGTTTTGGGGTGGGGGGGGTCGGGATTTGCCCCGGGGGGGCCATGAGGGGGAAATTTGGGGGGGGGGGGTCAGGGATCCATTTTGGGGGGCACCGAAGGCTCTGGGTGGGGTTTTGGGGTTTGGGGGTCTGGGATTTGCCCCGGGGGGGGCCATGAGGGGGAAATTTGGGGGGGGGAGGGTCAGGGATCCATTTTGGGGGGCTCTGGGTGAGGTTTTGGGGTTGGGGGGGTCGGGGATTTGCCCCGGGGGGGCCATGAGGGGCAAATTTAGGGGGCGTGGCCACACTGAGGGGGCGGGGCCTCCCCTCACGAGGGGGGGCGGAGCTCGGGGCCCCTCAGGGGAACGGGGGCGGGACGGGGAGGCCCTGAGGGACCTCCGGGAGGGGCCCGGCCCGTTCTGAGCCCCCCCAAATGTTCCGGGCTCGGTCCCGGGCTCGGTCCCGGGGCCCCTCACGGCCCCTCACGGCCCCTCCGGGCCCCTCCCCCACCTCCAGCCGCTCCAGGGTCGCCGCCGCCGCCGCCTCGGCCGCCGCCATTCTTCCCGCGCTCTGCGCTGATTGGCTGCCACTTTCCCGCCCCTCTCGCTGATTGGTTCCGCTTCCCTCCTCCGCGCTCTGCGGGGACTCAGCCAATCGCGGAGCTTTCCGGCCGAACCGACGCGCGCCATTGGGTGGTGCTGGCGGCGTTTAAGCCACGCCCCCCTCTCCGTGCGTCTCGGCCAATGGGAGCGGGCGCGGCGGGCGCGTGACCCCGGAAGTGCCCGGAGCGCGCGCGCCCCCGCGGCCGCCGCCGCCTCCGGGACCCGCGCGCGGCCTCCGCCGCCCCCGCGACGTCACCGCGGCGGCCGTGACGTCACCGAGGCCGCGAGCGCGCCCGCCATGACGTCACCGCCGCGGGCGCTGACGTCACGCGGCCCCCCCGAGCCCGGCGGGGCCGAGGCCCGTGCGCGGTTCCGAACCGCGCGGTTCATCATGGAGGCGGGTGAGATGGGGGGGGTGTGACGTCATGGCCGGGGTGGTGACGTCATCGGGGAGGCGGCGATGGCGTCATGGGTGTGAGCGCGGGGCTGGGCTCGATGGTGACGTTACGGTGACGTCACGGGGGTAGGGAGGGGTGTGGTGTGATGTCATAGTGACGTCATAGCAGGGGTATGGGGTTGGTGTGGAGCTGAGGTCGGTGACGTCACCGTGACGTCACGGGGGCACAGCGGGGGTGGGCTCGGATCGGTGACACCCACAGGTGCCTCAGGTGAGAGTCACGTGACCCCCCGGGTGTGCCTCAGGTGTGCCCGGTGACCCCAGGGGTGACAGAGGGGTGACACAGGGGTGACACAGGTGGGGCACAGGTGTGACAGGGACACACAGGTGTGACACAGGTGACACAGGGACACACAGGTGTGACCCAGGTGACACAGGTGTCCCCCCAGGTGTGAAGCTGGGGCTGGGCTCGGCCGCCCTGGCCACCGCCTGCTCCTCGTTCCACGCTCTGGGTGTGACACAGGTGACACAGGTGTGACACAGGTGACACAGGTGACACTCAGGTGTGTCCCCGCAGGTGTGAAGCTGGGGCTGGGCTCGGCCGCCCTGGCCACCGCCTGCTCCTCGTTCCACGCTCTGGCGGCGGTGGCTCCGGCTCTGGCCCAGGAGCGGTTCCTGGTGGCCGCGGCCGCGCTCTTCGTGGCCGCCAAGGCCCAGGGAACCCCCCGGAGAGCGCGGGACGTGCTCAACGTCACCCTCAGGTGAGACCGGCACCCCAAAATCCCCCAAAATCACCTCAACGTCACCCTCAGGTGAGCTCAAACACCTCAGGTACCCCAAAATCACACCAGGAACCCCAAAATCACCTCAGGGAACCCAAAATTCCCCAAAATCACCTCAACGTCACCCTCAGGTGAGCCCAGCACCCCAAAATCACCTCAGGGAACCCAAAATCCCCCAAAATCACCTCAATGTCACCCTCAGGTGAGACCAAATACCCCAAAATCACCTCAGGGAACCCAAAATCACCTCAGGGAACCCCAAACTGCCCCAAAATCACCTCAATGTCACCCTCAGGTGAGCCCAGCACCCCGAAATTCCCCAAAATCACCTCAATGTCACCCTCAGGTGAGACCAGCACCCCAAAATCCCACGTGGGAACCCCAAAATCGCACCTGGGAACCCCAAAATCACCTCAGGGAACCCAAAATCCCCCAAAATCACCTCAGGGAACCCCAAAATCGCACCTGGGAACCCAAAATCACCTCAATGTCACCCTCAGGTAAGACCAAACACCTCAAAATCACACCTGGGAACCTCAAAATCACCTCAGGGAACCCCAAACTGCCCCAAAATCACCCTCAGGTGAGACTCCCCCAGGTGACCCCAAAACTGCCTCAGGTGACCCCAAAAATCTCCCCCAAAACCTCCCCAAAATCCCAAAAAAAACTCCAATGCCTCCCCAAAATCCCAATAATCCCCCCAAAACCCCCCCAAAATACCCCTGTGCCCCCCAAAACTCCCTCAAATCCCCTAAAACCCCCCTAAAAATCCCAAAATCCCCCAAATCCCCCTAAAAATCCCCAAATCCCCAAAATCCCCCCCAGGTGTCTCCACCCCGGCTCGCCCCCCCCGGCGCTGGACGGGAATTTTTGGGGGCTGCGGGACAGTCTGGTGCAGTGTGAGCTGCTGCTGCTGCGGGCGCTGCGCTTCCGCCTGCCCCTGGCGCACCCCCACAAGGTGAGACCCCCCCCAAATCACCCCGGGCCCCCCCAAAAAATCCCCAAACTCTGCGACCCCAAAAACCCCAAAAAACCCCTGAAAAACGCAAAAAAAACCCCCAAAAAACCCAAAAAACCCCCAAATTCTGGTACTTCCGCCTGCCCCTGGCGCACCCCCACAAGGTGAGACCCCCCCCAAATCGCCCCGGGGCCCCCCAAAAAATCCCCAAACTCTGCGACCCCAAAAAACCCCAAAAAAACCCTGAAAAACGCAAAAAAAACCCCCAAAAAACCCAAAAAACCCCCAAATTCTGGTACTTCCGCCTGCCCCTGGCGCACCCCCACAAGGTGAGACCCCCCCCAAATCACCCCGGGCCCCCCCAAAAAACCCCCAAACTCTGCGACCCCAAAAACCCCCAAAAAATCCTGAAAAATCCCCCCAAAAAACCCCAAAAACCCCAAAATCCCCCCAAAATCCCACCCAATCCTGGCATTTTTGGCACTTCCGCCTGCCCCTGGCGCACCCCCACAAGGTGAGACCCCCCCCAAATCACCCCGGGCCCCCCCAAAAAATCCCCAAACTCTGCGACCCCAAGAAACCCCAAAAAATCCTGAAAAACCAAAAAAAAAACCCAAAAAACCCCAAATTCTGGCACTTCCGCCTGCCCCTGGCGCACCCCCACAAGGTGAGACCCCCCCCAAATCACCCCGGGCCCCCAAAAAATCCCCAAAATCTGCAACCCCAAAAACCCCAAAAAAACCCTGAAAAACGCAAAAAAAAACCCCCAAAAACCCAAAAAACCCCCAAATTCTGGTACTTCCGCCTGCCCCTGGCGCACCCCCACAAGGTGAGACCCCCCCCAAATCACCCCGGGCCCCCCCAAAAAATCCCCAAACTCTGCGACCCAAAAACCCCCAAAAAATACCGAAAAATGCAAAAAAACCCCAAAATCCCCCCAAAATCCCACCCAATCCTGGCATTTTTGGCACTTCCGCCTGCCCCTGGCGCACCCCCACAAGGTGAGACCCCCCCCAAATCACCCCGGGCCCCCCCAAAAAATCCCCAAACTCTGCGACCCCAAAAACCCCCAAAAAATCCCCAAAAACTCCCCAAAAAACCCCCAAAATTTCCAACCCAATCCCACAAAAAGTCCAAATTTTTGGGATATTTGGGGGGGGGGGGGTCTCGCGGGATTTTTGGGATTTTTGGATATTTTGGGGAGGGGTCTCCAACCGTCTCCCCCCAGTACCTGCTGCAGTACCTGGGGGGGGGGTCCCTGTTGCCCCCTCCCCAAAAGGGGATTTTTGGGCTATTTTTGGGCCTATTTTGGGCTATTTTGGGGCTATTTTGGGCTATTTTGGGCTGTTTTTTGGGCTGGTTTTTGGGAGGTTTGGGCTATTTTGGGGAGGGGTCTCTAACCCTCTCCCCCAGTACCTGCTGCAGTACCTGGGGGGGGGGTCCCTGTTGCCCCCTCCCCAAAATGGGATTTTTGGGCTATTTTTGGGCTATTTGGGGCTATTTTTGGGCTACTTTGGGGTGGTTTTTTGGCATTTTTGGGCTATTTTGGGGAGGGGTCTCTAACCCTGTGCCCCCCCAGTACCTGCTGCAGTACCTGCTGGCGCTGGGCCGCTGGGCCGGGGGTCCCTGGGGGAGGGTCCCGGGGGTCTCGTGGGCGCTGCTGCGGGACGGGGCCGCGGGGGGGCTCGGCCTGCGCCACCCCCCCCCCACCTGGCGGCGGCCGCGCTGCACCTGGGGCTGGAGCTGTGCGGGCGGGGGGCGCCCCCCGGGACCCCCCCCCCGCTGGTGGCAGGTGAGGGGACTGTGGGGAGGGGGCTTGGGGGGCTTTGGGGGGGGTTTGGGGGGTTTTAACGGGGATTTTTGGGGGTTTGGGGGGGATTTGGGGGCATTTTGGGGGGGGGGGTTTAGGGGATTTGTGGGGACCCGGGACCCCCACACCTCGCTGGTAGGTGAGGGAATTGGGGGGAGGGGGCTTGGGGGGGGGGTTGAGGGGGTTTGGGTGGGATTTTTGGGGGTTTGGGGGGTTTTAAGGGGGATTTGGGGGCATTTTGGGGGGAGTTTTAGGGGATTTGTGGGGACCCGGGACTCCCACACCCTGTTGGTAGGTGAGGGGATTGTGGGGAGGGGGCTTGGGGGGTTTTGGGGGCTTTTAAGGGGGATTTTGGGGGTTTTAGGGGGGATTTGGGCGCATTTTGGGGAGGGGGGGATTTAGGGGATTTGTGGGGACCCGGGACCCCCACACCTCGTTGGTAGGTGAGGGAATTGTGGGGAGGGGGCTTGGGGGGCGTTTGGGGGGAATTTGAGGGGCTTGATGGGGGATTTTTGGGGGGGGGGTTTGGGGGGGCTTTGGGGTTTTTTTCGGGGGAGGGTCCTGGGAGGGTTTTGGGGGGATTTTGGGGAGTTTTGAGGGGATTTTGGGGGAGTTTTGGGGGGATTTGGGGGGATTTTGGGGGGATTTTGGGGGGTCCTGGGATGTTGTGTGGATCCCAGAATTTGGGGAGGGGTCCCGTGGGATTTTGGGGGGATTTTGGGGGGATTTTGGGGGGTCCCAGGGTGGGTTACGGACCCCCCCGTGCCCCCCCCAGGTGCTGAGCCCGGGGTTAACCCCTGCGGCGCTGGAAGGAATCGAGCGGGAGCTTTTGGGGCTCTACAGCCTCGACACCCAAGTGGGGGGAGGGGCCGCGACCCCCGCCCCTCCCCCACCCCCCCCGCTGCCCGCGCCCCCCCCCCCCCCCCCCCGCCGCCCCCCGGCCCGACAGACGGAGCCCCCCCCCCACAAAAGGACGGACAGACGGAGCCCCCCCTGCCCCCCCCACGGACACAGGGACCCCCCCCCAAATCCTGACAGAGCCCGAGACCCCCCCCCAAAATTAAATAACCCCCCCCAGGTCCTGACAGAGCCCGAGACCCCCCCAAAAATAAAATAACCCCCCCCCAAATCCTGACAGAGCCCGAGACCCCCCCCCCAAAAAAAAATAACCCCAAATATGGATGGACCCCCCCCCCAAAAAAATACCCCCCCCCTCCCCCCAGGTCCTGACAGAGCCCGAGACCCCCCCCAAAAATAAAATAACCCCCCCCCAAATCCTGACAGAGCCCGAGACCCCCCCAAAAAAAAAAATAACCCCCCCAAATCCTGACAGAGCCCGAGACCCCCCCCAAAAAAAAATAACCCCCCCCCCAAATCCTGACAGAGCCCGAGACCCCCCCCAAAAAATAACCCCCCCCCCCAGATCCTGACAGAGCCCGAGACCCCCCCCAAAAAAATAACCCCCCCCAAATCCTGACAGAGCCCGAGACCCCCCCCAAAAATAAAATACCCCCCCCAAATCCTGACAGAGCCCGAGACCCCCCCCAAAAATAAAATAACCCCCCCCAAATCCTGACAGAGCCCGAGACCCCCCCCAAAAATAAAATAACCCCCCCAAATCCTGACAGAGCCCGAGACCCCCCCCCAAAAAAAATAACCCCCCCCAGGTCCTGACAGAGCCCGAGACCCCCCCCCAAAAAAATAACCCCCCCAAATCCTGACAGAGCCCGAGACCCCCCCCCAAAAATAAAATAACCCCCCCCCAAATCCTGACAGAGCCAGAGACCCCCCCCCCAAAAAATAAAATAACCCCCCCCCCAAAAAACCCCATGGACCCCCCCCGGACAAAGAGACCCCCCCCAAAAAACCCCAAACCCAGACCCCCCCCCCCCAAAATCTCCCTCCCAGGACCCCTCCCCAAAAAACCACAGCCCCCCCAAAAACCACGCCCCCCCAAAAAACCACAGCCCCCCCAAAAAACCACAGCCCCCCCCCAAAAAACCACAGCCCCCCCAAAAAACCACAGCCCCCCCAAAAAACCACAGCCCCCCCTCAGCCTCGGCCGTGTTTAATTCCCGCGGGGGGGGGGGGGCGCACACGGGGGGGGGTCCCGGCCCCGTGCGCCCCCTCCCCAAATAAATAATTACATCAATTAAACCCCAATAAATTAATTAATGACGTTAATTAAACCACCCCCAACCCAGCTGTGCCCCCCCCCCCCAAAATAAAACATGGCTTATGGGGGGGTCCCAATTTTGGGGGGGTCCTTAATTTGGGGGGGGTCTCTAATTTGAGGGGGGGTCCCAATTTGGGGAGGGGGGGGGAGTGTCCACAATTTGAGGGGGGGGTCCCTCAATTTGAAATGGGGGAGGGTCTCGAATTTGGGCAGGGTCTCGAATTTGGGGGGGGTCCCCAATTTGGAGAGGACCCAATTTGAGGGGGGGTCCCCCAATTTAAAAAAGACCCAGTTTGAGGAGGGGGTCCCCAATTTGAGGAGGGGGTCCCCACTTTTAAAAGGGGGGGGGCTCTCAATTTAAAATGGGAGGGGTCCCCAATTTGGGTTGGGGTCCCCCAATTTAAAAGAGACCCAATTTGGGGAGGGGGTCCCCAATTTTAAAGGGACCCATCTGAGGAGGGGGTCCCCAATTCGAGGGGGGGTCCCCAATTTAAAATGGGGGGGGTCCCCAATTTAAGGGGGGGTCCCCCAATTTAAAAAAGACCCAGTTTGAGGAGGGGGTCCCCAATTTGGGGTGGGGTCCCCCAATTTAAAATGGGAGGGGTCCCCAATTTAAGGTAGGGATCCCCAATCTGAGGGGGGGTCCCATATCCGAGGGGGGGTCCCCAATCTGGGGGAGTCCCCAATCTGAGGGGGGGGTCCCCAATTTGAGGGGGGGTCCCCAATTTAAGGTAGGGATCCCCAATCTGAGGGGGGGTCCCCAATCCGAGGGGGTTCCCCAATTTGAGGGGGGGTCCCAATCTGGGGGGGGTCCCCAATCTGAGGGGGGGGTCCCAATCTGAGGGGGAATCCCCAATCTGAGGGAGTCCCCAATCCGAGGGGGGGTCCCCAACCTGGGGAGGATTTTGGGGCGCCCCCCCCTCACAGGGAGGTCTCGAGGCTGTGGAGGCGCCCGGGGGGGGGGGCAGAGGGGGCCGGGGGGGGCCCCGTGGTTGTTGTTGCGATTTGGGGGGGGGGGCGCGGATGGGGGGGGCTTCGCTCTCGGCGTCGGTGTCGTCGATCAGGGGGATGTCCCTGGTGTCCCCAAAAATCAGCTCCGCGTGGGGGGGCACCCCGAAAGGGCCCCCCCCCCCGATGAGGCCCAGGGGAGGGTCCGGCCGGGCCAGGGGGGGAGGACCCCCCCCCAAATTGCTGCGGAAGGCGCGGACCACCCTCATCTGGGGGGGGAGGGGAGAGGAATTGAGGGGGGGGGACACATCCCCAAAAATAGAAGGTGACCCCCCCCAAAAGAAAAAAAATATCCCAAAAAATCCCCCCACCCCAAAAAAAATCCTGAAATAAAAAAAAAAATCCCCAAAAAAGACCCCCCACCCAAAAAAAAAAATCCCAAAAAAAAACCCCAATAAAATCCCCCCACCCAAAAAAAAATCCCCCCAAAAAAATCCCCCCACCCAAAAAAACCCATTCCAAAAAAAAAATCCCAAAAAAATCCCCCCACCCAAAAAAAACCCATTACAAAAAATTCCCCCACCCCAAAAAAAAAATTTCCAAAAAATCCCTCCACCCAAAAAAAAAAAACCAACCCCAAAAATCCCCCCATCCAAAAAAACCCCTCATCCCTCAAAATCTCCCCCCCAAAATAATCCCCCTCTCAAAATTTTTTTGGATTTCCGCCAAATTTTAGGATTTTCCCCAAATTTTGGGATTAAAAGGGAAGTTTGGGGTTGGAGGACAGGAGACCCCAAAATCCTCCCCTAAAAAACCCCAAAACTCTGATTTTCCCCCTGGGAATTGCCCAAATTTGGGGATTTTTCCCCGAATTTGGGGATTTTTCCCCGAATTTTGGAATTTTTCCCTGATTTTGGGATTTTTCCCCAATTTTGGGGTTTCCCCGAATTCCGGGCCGTGAGTTGGGAATTTGGGGGGGGGTGGGGGGTTATTTGGGGGGGGTCTGACCTGGGTCTGGACGCGGCTCAGGCCCCGCACCCACAGCACCTTCCCCCGGCCCAGCTCGGCCACCTCGGGGTGCTCCCGCGGCCCCGAACGCTCCGGCCAGCGCCGCCCGCCCGGGCCCGGGACACACACCAGCACCTGGACAGGGGTCACCTTGGGGTCATTGGGGTCACCTTGGGGTCAGCGGGGTCACTGGGGTCACCCTGGGGTCACTGGGGTCACCCTCTGGCCAGCGCCGCCGCCCCGGGCCCGGGACACACACCAGCACCTGGGGACACCCTGGGGTCAGCGGGGTCACCCTGGGGTCACCCTGGGGTCAGCGGGGTCACACTGGGGTCACCGGGGTCACCCCAGGGCCAGCGCCGCCCCCCCCGGGCCCGGGACACACACCAGCACCTGGGGACAGCCCGGGGTCACCCTGGGGTCACCATGGGGTCACTGGGGTCACCCTGGGGTCACTGGGGTCACCCTGGGGTCAGTGGGGTCACCCCAGGGTCAGCGCCGCCCCCCCCGGGCCCGGGACACACACCAGCACCTGGGGACAGCCCGGGGTCACACTGGGGTCACCATGGGGTTACTAGGGTCACCCTGGGGTCAGTGGGGACACCCGGGTCACCCAGGGGTCAGCGGGGTCACCCTGGGGTCAGCAGGGTCACCCCGGGGTCACTGGGGTCATCTTGGGGTCATCAGGCTCCAGCCACTGACCCCCCGAGGGGCCGCTGGGGTGACACCCGTGGGGACAGCGGGGACAGGGGGGTCCCCGAGCAGGAGCCTGGGTGTCCCTTGGTGGGGGTCCCGTGGGTCTGGGGACCCTCCGGGTGGGCGTGTCCCCCAGGTGGGCGTGGCCCCAGGTGGGCGGGGCCCCAGGTGGGCGTGGCCTCTAGGTGGGCGGGGGTCCTGGGCGTGGCCCCAGGTGGGCGTGTCCCGTACCTGTCCCCAGAGCAGCTCCCCCAGGCCCACGAAGAGGCACCAGAGCCACTGCTCAGCGCTGAGGGGGGAGCAGCTGAAGGGCTTCCCCCCGAACTGCACAATCAGCACCTGGGGGGACACGGGGGACACGGGGGGACACGGGGGACACGGGTGTCACACACCCCCCGCTCCCACAGCCACCCCCGTGTCCCCAAAATGTCCCCACTGTGTCCCTATGGAGGAGCAGCTGAAGGGCTTCCCCCCGAACTGCACAATCAGCACCTGGGGGGACACGGGGGGACACGGGGGACACGGGTGTCACACACCCCCCGCTCCCTCAGCCACCCCCGTGTCCCCAAAACGTCCCCAAAATGTCCCCACATGTCCCACCTGCACGGCGAAGGTGCCCAGGACGATGGTGCAGAAGATGGGGTTGGCGCAGACGCCCTCGAAGACGTTCCTGAATGTCCCCATGTGTGTCCCCATGTGTCCCAATGTCCCCAAAATGTCCCCAATGTCCCCACAATGTCCCCCCATGTCCCCCTGTCCCACCTGCACAGTGAAGGTGCCCAGCACGATGGCGCAGAAGACGGGGTTGGCGCAGACGCCCTCGAAGACGTTCCTGAGTGTCCCCATGTGTGTCCCCATGTGTCCCCATGTCCCCACAATGTCCCCCCATGTCCCCATGTCCCACCTGCACGGCGAAGGTGCCCAGCACAATGGCGCAGAAGACGGGGTTGGCGCAGACGCCCTCGAAGACGTTCCTGAGTGTCCCCATGTCCCCCCAACGTGTCCCCATGTCCCCATGTCCCACCAATGTGTCCCCACAATGTCCCCATGTCCCCATGTCCCACCTGCACGGCGAAGGTGCCCAGCACGATGGCGCAGAAGACGGGGTTGGCAGAGACTCCCTTGAAGACATTTCTGCGTGTCCCCATGTCCCCCAATGTGTCCCAATGTCCCCAGAATGTCCCCAATGTCCCCACAATGTCCCCAAAACATCCCCATGTGTCCCACCTGCACGGCGAAGGTGCCCAGCACGATGGCGCAGAAGGTGGGGTTGGCGCAGACGCCCTCGAAGACGTTCCTGAATGTCCCCATGTGTGTCCCAAATGTGTCCCCACATGTCCCCGTGTGTCCCTGTGTGTCCCACATGTCCCCTGTCCCACCTGCACGGCGAAGGTGCCCAGCACGATGGCGCAGAAGACGGGGTTGGCGCAGACGCCCTCGAAGACGTTCCTGAGTGTCCCCATGTGTGTCCCAAATGTGTCCCCATGTCCCCCATGTCCCCATGTCCCCCCATGTCCCCCCTGTGTCCCACCTGCACGGCGAAGGTGCCCAGGACGATGGCGCAGAAGGTGGGGTTGGCGCAGACGCCCTCGAAGACGTTCCTGAGTGTCCCCATGTCCCCATGTGTCCCCCCACATGTCCCCACGTGTCCCCCATGTCCCCATGTCCCCTGTCCCACCTGCACGGCGAAGGTGCCCAGCACGATGGCGCAGAAGACGGGGTTGGCGCAGACGCCCTCGAAGACGTTCCTCTCGCCGTGCAGTTTGCGCGCGTTGAGCTCGTTGAAGAGCTGCATCAGCACGAAGGTGTTGAAGATGATGGTGAAATGCTCCGAGGGCGGCGCGTGCAGAGGCGCCGCGCGGCCGCTGTCGATGTCGAACAGCACCTCCCCTGCGGGACACGGGGACAGCGTGGGGACACGGGACAGGGACACGGGGACAGCGTGGGGACACGGGGACGGCGTGGGGACACCCATGGGGACACGGGGACAGCGTGGGGACAGCGTGGGGACATGGGGACAGCGTGGGGACACAGGGGGGGACACGGGGACAGCATGGGGACAGCGTGGGGATACGGACAGGGACAGCGTGGGGACATGGGGGGGGACACGGGGACAGCGTGGGGACACGGGCAGGGACACGGGGACAGCATGGGGACAGCGTGGGGACAGTGTGGGGACAGCGTGGGGACAGCGTGGGGACAGCGTGGGGACAGTGTGGGGACACGGGGACAGCGTGGGGACAGTGTGGGGACACGGGGACAGCGTGGGGACAGCGTGGGGACAGCGTGGGGACAGCGTGGGGACAGCGTGGGGACACAGGCAGGGACACGGGGACATGCGTGGGGACACGGGCAGGGACACAGGAACACAGGCAGGGACACAGGGACACGGGCAGGGACACGGGGACACCTATGGGGACACCCATGGGGACATGGGGACACCAATGGGGACATGGGGGCACTTGTGAGGACATGGGACACAACATGGGGACACCCGTGGGAACACCCATGGGGACATGAGGACACTCTTGGGGACATGGGGACATGGAGACACCCATGGGGACACCAATGGGGACATGAACAGGGACATGGGGATACCCATGGGGACACCTGTGGGGACATGAGGGCACTTGTGGGGACACAGGGACACTTGTGGGGACATAGACAGGGACATGGGGACACTCATGGGGACACAGGATAGGGACACGGGGACATGGGGATACATTTGGGGACATGGGGACACTCGTCGGGATGTGGGGACACTCATGGGGACTCAGCCGTGGGTGTGGGAAACCCTCCCGTGATGTCCCCTGACCAGAGTGACACTGTGTCCGTGCCACTGACCGGCCAAGAGCAGGGTGAAGGTGACAGCAGCTGGGAGGGGATGTGTCCCACCATGTCCCACCACGTGCCACCGTGTCCCACCGTGTCCCACTGTGTCCCATTGTGTCCCACCATGTCCCCATGGGTTCCCACCATGTCCCCATGGGTTCCCACCACCTGTGGAACCCTCCCGTGATGTCCCCTGATGTCCCCTGTCCCCCGGGAGTGTCACTGACCGGCGAAGAGCAGGGTGAAGATGACCAGCAGCTGGTAGGGGATGTGTCCCACCATGTCCCCATGGGTTCCCACCATGTGCCACCATGTCCCCATGGGTTCCCACCATGTCCCCATGAGTTCCCACCATGTCCCACCATGTCCCCATGGGTTCCCACTGTGTCCCACCATGTCCCCATGGGTTCCCACCATGTGCCACCATGTCCCCATGGGTTCCCACCATGTTCCCATGGGTTCCCACCCCTCTGGACCCCTCCCCGATGTCCCCGTGGGTGTCACTGACCGGCGAAGAGCAGGGTGAAGATGACCAGCAGCTGGTAGGCGGCGTGGCCCAGGATGTTGCGCAGCATGGTGCCCGACAGCAGCGGGTGCTCGCGCCCGTAGGGTTTGCGCAGCAGCAGCGCCTCCGTGGGCGGCTCCGTGGCCAGCGCCAGCGACGCCAAGGTGTCCATGATCAGGTTCACCCACAGCATCTGCACCGCCTTCAGCGGGGAGTCCTGCGGGCACGGGGGGCACAGGTGGGCTCAGAGGAATAGGACAGGTGAGCTCAGGTGGGCTCAGGTGGGCTCAGGGGGGCACAGGTGGGCACAGGTGGGCACAGGCCAGCGAGGCCAAGGTGTCCATGATCAGGTTCACCCACAGCATCTGCACCGCCTTCAGCGGGGAGTCCTGCGGGCATGGGGGGCACAGGTGGGCACAGGTGGGCACAGGTGGGCTCAGGTGGACACAGGTGGACACAGGTGGGCTCAGGTGGGCCCAGGTGGGCACAGGTGGGCACAGGTGGGCTCAGGTGGGCACAGGTGGGCACAGGTGGGCACAGGTGGGCACAGGTGGGCACAGGGGGGCTCAGGTGAGCTCAGGTGGCTCAGAGGAATGGGACAGGTGGGCACAGGTGGGCTCAGGTGGGCACAGGTGGGCTCAGGTGGGCTCAGGTGGGCACAGGTGAGCTCAGGTGGGCACAGGGAGGCACAGGGGGGCTCAGGTGGGCTCAGAGGAATGGGACAGGTGGGCACAGGTGGGCTCAGGTTGCCACAGGTGAGTTCAGGTGGGCTCAGGTGAGCACAGGTGGGCTCAGATGGGCACAGGTGGGAACAGGTGGGCTCAGGTGGGCACAGGCCAGCAAGGCCAAGGTGTCCATGATCAGGTTCACCCACAGCATCTGCACCGCCTTCAGCGGGGAGTCCTGCGGGCATGGGGGGCATGGGGGGCACAGGTGGGCTCAGGTGGGCACAGGTGAGCTCAGGTGGGCACAGGTGGGCACAGGTGGGCTCAGGTGGGCTCAGGTGGGCACAGGTGGGCACAGGTGGGCTCAGGTGGGCTCAGGTGGGCACAGGGGGGCACAGGTGAGCTCAGGGGGGCTCAGGTGGGCACAGGTGAGCTCAGAGGGGCTCAGGTGGCTCAGAGGAATGGGACAGGTGGGCACAGAGATGGGACAGGTGGGCACAGTTGGACTGTGTGATTCAGGCCCAGGTGACCCCACCTGCCCAGGTGACCCCTCACCTGGGTGATGCCACCATCCTACCCAGGTAAATGTCCCCTGTCCGCATGTCCCACCTGGCCAGGTGAGCTCATCTGGATGATGCAGGCGCCGGTGAAGGCCACGATGACCCTGCCCATGTCCCACCCGGCCAGGTGAGCTCACCTGGGTGATGCCCCATGTCCCACCCGGCCAGGTGAGCTCACCTGGGTGATGCAGGCGCCGGTGAAGGCCACGATGACCCTGCCCATGTCCCACCCGGCCAGGTGAGCTCACCTGGGTGATGCCCCATGTCCCACCCGGCCAGGTGAGCTCACCTGGGTGATGCAGGCGCCGGTGAAGGCCACGATGACCCTGCCCATGTCCCACCCGGCCAGGTGAGCTCACCTGGGTGATGCAGGCGCCGGTGAAGGCCACGATGACCCCGCCCATGTCCCACCCGGCCAGGTGAGCTCACCTGGGTGATGCAGGCACCAATAAAGGCCACGATGACCCTGCCCATGTCCCACCTGGCCAGGTGAGCTCACCTGGGTGATGCAGGCGCCGGTGAAGGCCACGATGACGGCCACCACGTTGACGGTCAGCTGGAACTGCAGGAACTTGGCGATGCTGTCGTAGACGTTGCGGCCCCACATGACGGCCTTGACGATGCTCGAGAAGTTGTCGTCCGTCAGGATGATGTCCGAGGCCTCCTTGGCCACGTCCGTGCCCGCGATGCCCTTGGGGACACGGACAGGTGACCACCAGGTGACCTCCAGGTGGGCACAGGTGACCCCCAGGTGGGCACAGGGATGAGGAACCCCAAGGTGACCCCAGGTGGGTGAGGGGACAGGACAATGTCCGAGGCCTCCTTGGCCACCTCTGTGCCCATGATGCCCTTGGGGACACGGACAGGTGACCACCAGGTGACCACAGGTGACCCCCCAGGTGGGCACAGGTGACCCCCAGGTGACCCCAGGGATGGAGAACCCCAAGGTGACCCCAAGGTGACCCCAAGGTGGCCTCCTTGGCCACGTCCGTGCCCGCGATGCCCTTGGGGACACAGACAGGTGACCCCCAGGTGGGCACAGGTGACCCCCAGGTGACCACAGGTGACCCCCAGGTGACCCCAGGGATGGGGAACCCCAAGGTGACCCCAAGGTGACCCCCAGGTGACCCCCAGGTGCCTCTTTGGCCACCTCTGTGCCCACGATGCCCTTGGGGACATGGACAGGTGACCCCCAGGTGACCCCCAGGTGGCCACAGGTGACCCCCAGGTGATCCCCAGGTGACCCCCGGTGACTCCCAGGTGACCCCCAGGTGACCCCCAGGTGACCCCAGGTGAGCCCAGGGATGGGGGGGAATCCCCATTTTGGGAGGGAGGCCAAATTTGGGGAGGGGTCCCAAGGGTCCCAGTTTGGGGGGGGGGAGTCTTGGGGTCCCATTTCAGGGAGGGGATCTTGGGATCCCAATTTGGGGAGGGGTCCTGGGAATCCCAAATTGGGGAGGGGTCTCAGGGGTCCCAATTTTGGGAGGGGTCCTGGGAATCCCATTTTGGGCAGGGGTCTCATTTTGAGGAGGGGGTCCCAATATTTGGGGAGGGGTCTCTGGAATCCCATTTTGGGGAGGGGTTCTGGGGGTTCCAACCCAGGAGGGTTCTTGAGGGTCCCATTTTGGGGAGGGGTCCCGCAATTTGGGGAGGGGTCCCGTGTCAGGAAAGGGTTCTGCAGTTTGGGGAGGGGTCGGCAATTCGGGGAGGGGTCCCATTTCGGGGAGGGTCCTCAAGGATCTCATTTTGGGGAGGGGTCTCATTTTGAGAAGGGGTCCCAATATTTGGGGAGGGGTCTCCAGAATCCCCTTTTGGGGAGGGGTTCAGGGGGTCCCAATCCAGGAGGGTTTTTGAGGGTCCCATTTTGGGGAGGGGTCCCATGTCAGGAAGGGGTTCTGCAATTTGGGGAGGGGTCAGCAATTTGGGGAGGGGGCGTCACCATGGCGAAGCCCACGTCCGCCTTTTTGAGGGCGGGGCCGTCGTTGGTGCCGTCGCCGGTGACCGCCACCACCTGCCGCTGGTCCCCGATGGTGCTGTCGATGATCCCTGCGACAGGTGGGGACAGGTGGGGACACAGGTGAGACCCCCCGGACCCCCGGGACCCCCGGGACCCCTCCCCAAATTCCCACCTTTCACCAGCGTGTGTTTGTCGGTGGGCGATGACCGCGCCAGGACCCTCAGCTTGGGCCACACCTTGTCCAGGCGCTCCTGCTCCACCTGGGGGGGTGGGGGGTGAGACCCCCGGGACCCCCAGGGACCCCCAGGGACCCCCCGGGACCCCCAGGGACACCCCCCGGGACCCCCCGGGACCCCCAGGGACCCCCAGGGACACCCCCGGGACACCCAGGGACCCCCCCGGGACACCCCGAGACCCTCAGGGACCTCCAGGGACACCCAGAGACCCCCAGGGACCCCCGGGGACCCCCAGGGACCCCCCCGGGACCCCCAGGGACACCCAGGGACCCCCCGGGACCCCCAGGGACACCCCCGGGACACCCAGGGACACCCCAGGACCCCCAGAGACCCCCAGGGACACCCCGAGACCCCCAGGGACCCCCAGGGACCCCCCCGGGACCCCCAGGGACCCCCGCCGGGACCCCCAGGGACCCCCAGGGACCCCCCAGTCACCCTCCCAGTTCCGCCCAGTCCCTCCCAGTGTCACCCAGTGTCCCCAATCTGTCACCCAGTGTCCCCAGTCCCCTTCCCAGTGTCCCAAATTCCCCTCCCAGTCCCTCCCAGTGTCACCCAGTGTCCCCAGTCTGTCACCCAGTGTCCCCAGTCCCCCACAGTGTCACCCAGTGTGTCACCCAGTGTCCCCAGTGCCCCTCCCAGTGTCCCCAGTGTCCCCAGTCCCTCCCAGTGTCACCTCCCCGCGCTCGTTGCGGATGCGGCGGTTGAACTCTCTCCCCTCCAGGCACAGCCAGTGTCACCCAGTGTGTCACCCAGTGTCACCCAGTGTCCCCAGTGTCCCCAGTGCCCCTCCCAGTGTCACCCAGTGTCCCCAGTGCCACCTCCCCGCGCTCGTTGCGGATGCGCCGGTTGAACTCTGTCCCCTCCAGGCACAGCCACTCTCCGCTGCCCGCGGGGAGGATCCCGCACTTGGCGGCGATGGCGCGCGCCGTGTCCAGGTTGTCGCCGGTCACCATCCGCACCGTGATCCCCGCGCGCTGGCACTTGCGGATGGCCTCGGGCACCTGCGGCACGCGCTGTCCCCAACTGTCCCCAACTGTCCCCGAACTGTCCCTGAACTGTCCCCAACTGTCCCCAACTGTCCCCAACTGTCCCCGCAGTGCCACCGTCCTGTCCCCGAACTGTCCCCGAACTGTCCCCAAACTGTCCCCAAGTGTCCCCGAACTGTCCCTGAACTGTCCCCAAACTGTCCCGAACTGTCCCCGAACTGTCCCCAACTGTCCCCGCTGTCCCCCGTGTGTCCCTTCCCTCGTCTCCGATGTCCCTGTGTGTCCCCCATGCGCCCCCATATCCCCCCCTGTCCCCCCATGTCCCCACGCCCCCCAAGTCCCCCCATATCCCTCATGTCCCCACGTCCCCCATGTCCCCTCAAGTCCCCATGTCCCCCCCATATCCCATGTCCTCCCATGTCCCCCTGCCCCCCAAGTCCCCCTATATCCCCCCCATGTCCCCCCATATCCTCCCCATGTCCCCCCGCCCCCCAAGTCCCCATTCACCCCCATGTCCCCCCGCCCCCCATGTCACTCAATCCCCCCATCTCCCCACACCCCCCCACAACCCCCCCAAGTCCCCACATGTCCCCCCCATGTCCCCATATCCCCCATGTCCCCCCATGTCCCCACACCCACCAAGTCCCCCCATGTCCCCCCATGCCCCCCCAAGTCCCCCATGTCCCCATTCACCCCCATGTCCCCCCGCCCCCCAAGTCCCCCTATATCCCCGCCATGTGCCCCCATATCCCCCCCATCTCCCCATGTCCCCCATGTCCCCTCAAGTCCCCATGTCCCCAATCCCCCCATCTCCCCACACCCCCCCATGTCCCCCCAGCCCCCCCAGCCCCCCGCCCCGGGCCCACCTCGGGCCGCACGGGGTCCTCGATGCCCACGATGGCGATGCAGGTCAGCTCCCGCACCACGGCGGCCTCGTCCTCCCAGGGGGGCTCGGGCCGGGGGGGGAAGTCGCGGAAGGCGAGGGCGAGGGTCCGCAGCCCCCCCCCCGCCATCGGCTCCACCACCCGCCGCAGCAGCTCCTCCCGCTCCGCGCCCCCCAAAACCCGCGGGGAGCCCCCCGCGTCCAGCATCGAGCTGCACCTGGGGGGGACAGGGGGGTCAGGGGGTCCCAGGTGGGTCGGGGGGGACATGGGGAGGGGGCTCAGGGGTCAGGGGGGTCAGGGGGACATGGGGAGGGGGTTCAGGGGTCAGGGGGGACATGGGGAGGGGGGTCAGGGGTCCCAGGTGGGTCAGGGGGGACATGGGGAGGGGGTTCAGGGGGTGACATGGGGAGGGGGCTCAGGAGGGGTCCCAGGTGGGTCAGGGGGTCCCCCTGGGTTTAGGATGGAGCCAGCCCCCCCTCGGGCCAGCGCTCATGGCCCTGCCTGCCCAGGTGTGCCCCCAGGTGTGCCCCCAGGTATCCCCAGGTGTCCCCAGGTGTGCCCAGGTGTGTCCCCAGGTATGCCCAGGTGTGCCCAAGTGCCCCCAGGTGTGCCCAGGTGCCCCCAGGTATCCCAAGGTGTGTCCCCTGTTATGCCCAGGTGTGCCCAGGTGCCCCCAGGTGCCACCAGCTGCCCAGGTGTGCCCAGGTGCACGCCCAGGTATCCTCAGGTATCCCAGGTGCCCCCAGGTGTGCCCAGGTATCCCAAGGTGTCCCTAGGTGTGTCCCCTGTTATGCCCAGGTACCCCCAGGTGTGTCCAGGTGCCCCCAGGTGTGTCCAGGTGTGACACCAGTTGTGCCCAGGTACCCTCAGGTGCCCCCAGGTACCCTCAGGTGTGCCCAGGCATGCCCAGGTGTGTCCCCAGTTATGCCCAGGTGCCCCCAGGTGTGACACTAGTTGTGCTCAGGTACCCTCAGGTGCCCCCAGGTGCCCCCAGGTGTGTCCAGGTGCCCCCAGGTGTGCCCAGGTGTGACACCAGTTGTGCCCAGGTGTGACACCAGTTGTGCCCAGGTGCCCCCAGGTGTGTCCCCAGTTATGCCCAGGTGTGCCCAGGTCCCCCCAGGTGCCCCCAGGTGTGTCCCCAGGTGCCCCGGTGCCCCCACCTGCGCAGCACCATCTCGGAGGCGCCCTTGCAGAAGAGGCGGAAGCCGCCGCCGGGCCGGCGGGTGACGGTGCTCATGGATTTGCGCTCCGAGTTGAAGGTGAACACCTTGACCAGGTGCTCCTCGGGCACCTGCGCCCGCTCCGCCTCGGGGTCCCGGCCCAGCGCCAGCGCCAGCCCCAGCAGGGCACACTCCGTCTTGTTGCCCACCTGGCGGGGCAGAGCCCCGGGGGCCTCGGGGGGCTGCGGGGCAGGTAAGGGGGCAGGTAAGGGGGGTGGGGGGCAGGTAAATGGGGCAGGTAAGGGGGCAGGTAAGGGGGGGTCAGGTAAATGGGGTGGGGGCAGGTACAGGGGGTGGGGGCACATAAAGGGGGCAGGTAAAGGGGTGGGGGCAGGTAAAGGGGGCAGGTAAAGGGGGGGGCAGGTAAAGGGGGCAGTTATGGGGTCACAGGGGCAGTTATGGGGACAGGGGCACACAAAGAGGGCACAGACATCCCCGTTAGTGTCACGCACCCCCAAAATCCCCTAAAACCCCCCCGAAAACCCCCTCAAACTCCCCCCAAACTCCCCCAAAATCCCCCAAACCCCACCCCAGCCCCCTCCCAGTGCTCCCAGTGGCCCTGACCAGTATCTTGCTGGTGTAGGCGCTGTTGATGGCGATGGCCTGAGCCCGTAACCCCCCCAAAAACTCCCCTAAAACCCCCCAAAATCCCCCAAAACCCCCTCAAAGTCCCCCCAAACCCCCCCAAACCCCACCCCAGCCCCCTCCCAGTGCTCCCAGTGGCCCTGACCAGTATCTTGCTGGTGTAGGCGCTGTTGATGGCGATGGCCTGGGCCCGTAACCCCCCAAAACTCCCCTAAAACCCCCCAAACCCCCTCAAACTCCCCCCAAACTCCCCCCAGACCCCCCCAAACCCCACCCAGCCCCCTCCCAGTGCTCCCAGTGCCCCTCACCAGTATCTTGCTGGTGTAGGCGCTGTTGATGGCGATGGCCTGGGCCCGTAACCCCCCCAAAAACTCCCCTAAATCCCCCCAAACCCCCCCCAAAAAAACCCAAATCCCCCCAAACTCCCCCCAAACCCCCCCAAACCCCAGCCCAGCCCCCTCCCAGTGCTCCCAGTTGCCCTGACCAGTATCTTGCTGGTGTAGGCGCTGTTGATGGCGATGGCCTGGGTTTGTAATCCCCCCAAAAACTCCCCTAAATCCCCCCAAAACCCCCCCCAAAAACCCCCAAATCCCCCCAAACTCCCCCCAAACCCCCCCAAACCCCCCCAAGCCCCCTCCCAGTGCTCCCAGTTGCCCCTGACCAGTATCTTGCTGGTGTAGGCGCTGTTGATGGCGATGGCCTGGGCCAGCAGGTCCAGCGTGGGGGGGGCCAGCGCGGCGGGGGCCGGGGGGTGGCCGAAGTGGGACCCCCCCACGAAGGCCTGGACCACCGTCATGCGGTTGGTGGTCAGCGTGCCCGTCTTGTCCGAGCAGATGGCCGTGGCGTTGCCCATGGTCTCGCAGGCGTCCAGGTGCCGCACCAGGTTGTTGTCCTTCATCATTTTCTGGGGGGAAAAGCAAGGAATTTGGGGAAAAAACGGGGGGAAATTGGGAGAAATGGGGAGAAATTGGGATAAATGGAGGGAAATTGGGATAAATGGGGGGAAATTGGGAAAAAATGGGCGAAAATTGGGAAAATAGGCAAAAATGGAAGGGAAATGGAGAAAATAGAGGGGAAAATGGGAGTAGGTTGTTGTCCTTCATCATTTTCTGGGGGGAAAAGCGGGGAATTTGGGGAAAAAACGGGGGGAAATTGGGAGAAATGGGGGGAAATGGGGAAAAAACGGGCGAAAATTGGGAAAATAGGCAAAAATGGAAGGGAAATGGGGAAAATAGAGGGGAAAATGGGAGTAGGTTGTTGTCCTTCATCATTTTCTGGGGGGAAAAGCGGGGAATTTGGGGAAAAAACGGGGGGAAATTGGGAGAAATGGGGGGAAATGGGGAAAAAACGGGCGAAAATTGGGAAAATAGGCAAAAATGGAAGGGAAATGGGGAAAATAGAGGGGAAAATGGGAGTAGGTTGTTGTCCTTCATCATTTTCTGGGGGGAAAAGCGGGGAATTTGGGGAAAAAACGGGGGGAAATTGGGAGAAATGGGGGGAAATGGGGAAAAAACGGGCGAAAATTGGGAAAATAGGCAAAAATGGAAGGGAAATGGGGAAAATAGAGGGGAAAATGGGAGTAGGTTGTTGTCCTTCATCATTTTCTGGGGGGAAAAGCGGGGAATTTGGGGAAAAAAAGGTGGGGAAATTGGGAGAAATGGGGGGAAATGGGGGGAAATGGGGAGAAAAGGGGAAAAAATGGGGGGAAATTGGGATAAATGGGGGAAATGGGGGTAAATGGGGAAAATAGAGGGGGACATGGGAGTAGGTTGTTGTCCTTCATCATTTTCTGGGGGGAAAAGCGGGGAATTTGGGGAAAAAATGGGGGGAAATTGGGGAAAAATTGGGGGAATAGGGGGAAATGGGGAAAACAGAGGGGGACATGGGAGTAGGTTGTTGTCCTTCATCATGTTTTGGGGGGAAAAAGGAGGGAATTTGGGGAAAACGGGGGGGAAATAGGAAAAAAATGAGGGGGGGAATGGGGGAGAAATGGGGAAAAGAGGGGGAAATGGGGAAAAATGGGAGTGGGTTGTTGTCCTACATCATTTTCTGGGGGGGAAAACGAGGGAATTTGGGGAAAACCGAGAGAGGAACGAGGCGAACGGGGGGGACAGCAGGACAAAGCAGGACAAAGGGACACGGCTGGACAGGAGCAGAGAGGTGAGGGACACACGGCCACGGAGGGACAGACGGCCACACCTTGACGGAGTAGGCCAGCGAGATGGTGACGGCCAGCGGGAGCCCCTCGGGGACGGCCACCACCAGCACGGTGACGCCGATGATGAAGAACTTGACCCAGTACTGGACGTAGAGCGGCGCGCACTCGGCCAGCCACGGCCGGCCCTGCACCACGAAGGTCTCGATGACGAAGTAGAGCACGAGGATGATGACGGTGATGGCCGACATGGCCAGGCCTGCGCGGGGACACCCTCAGGACACGTCCCCCGAGGCGGCCGTGCCCTTGTCACCGCCTTTGGGGACACCAGACTCTCTGATCTCAGTGGTCGCTCGGGTCAGTTTGGCTTGGAGCACTGATCTGTCCTCCTCGGGGATGTGTCCCCACCCTGTGCCCGATGTCCCCACCCTCAGGACACGTCCCCAACGCTTTGTCCCCTCCCTGGGGACACCCCATTCCCCACGGTCAGTTGGGTCACTTTGCCCTGCAGGACCAATTTGTCCTCCTTGGGGACACCTCGGGGACATGTCCCCACCCTTGGTGTCGTTCAGCCACCCCTTGGGACACGTCCCCAGTGTCCCCAACCCCCTGTCACCCCATTTGGGGACCCCAACCTGCACGGGCAGTTTGACCTGGGGCACTGATTTGTCCTTGGGGCCACCTCAGGGATGTGTCCCCAACCTGCCCGCAGTGTCCCCACCCCTCAGGACACGTCCCCGAGCGTCTGTCCCCTCGTTTGGGGACCCCAGCCCCCACCTGCCTTCCCGATCTGCACGGCCAGCTGGGTCAGCTTGGCCTGGAGCACGGACTTCTCCTTCTTGGGGCCACCGCGGGGCCGCGTCCCCGTCCCCTCGGCCGCGTCCCCTCCCTCGGCGCTCTTCAGCGGCTGCATCTCCATGGCCACCGCCCCGTCCTGCCGCTTGCCTGGGGACACGGCCACGTGGCAGGGGGGACATGGGGGGACACGGGGGGACATGGGGGGACACGGGGAGCGGGCTTGGGCTTGTCCCCACCCCACCCCAAAGCACCTTTGGGTTGTGGGGTGTCCACGGCGCCATCCTGAGGCTTCCCTGTGGGACAAAGTGGGGTGGGGACACCCTAAAATGTGACCTGGGGGGGACAGGGAGAGCCCCCGGGGTGGGGACACCCCAAAATGTGACCTGGGGGGGACAGGGAGAGCCACCGGGGTGGGGACACCCCAAAATGCGACCTGGGGGGGACAGGGAGAGCCACCGGGGTGGGGACAGGGAGTGGCACTGGCAGTGGTGGCACCACTGGGGACAAGGATGGGAGGGGTGGAGCACATGGGGACAGAGGGGACAGAGGGGGACAGAGGGGACAGAGGGGTCTGGAGACCTTGGGGACACACTGGGACAGAGCCCATGGGGACAGAAGGACCTGGAACCCTCAGGGACATGGGAGGGATTTAGGGACAAGTGACAGATCCCACAGGGTCACCGGCCACCCATGGTGCCACCCAATCCCAGATTCCTTGGGGACAATGCCACCAGTGCCAGCTCCCGTGGGGACACACCAGTGCCACCAGTGCCAGCTCCCGTGGGGACACACCAGTGCCACCAGTGCCAGCTCCAATGGGGACACACCAGTGCCAGCTCCCGTGGGGACACACCAGTGCCACCAGTGCCACCAGTGCCAGCTCCCACGGAGCCAGCGGCCACGCCCGGCTGTGGTGTCATGGTGTCACCTTTCCTGTCCCTGCCCTCGTCCTCGTCGTCCCCCGCGGCGCCCAGCAGGGTGAAGATGATGCCGCTCTGCGAGTTCACCCCCACGGCCGTCACCACCATCCTGCCCGAGCCCTCCATGACGTGGGTGCCTGTGGGGACACCGTGGGTGACGGCGCCGTCCCCTCGGTGTCCCCCGCGTCCCCGAGCGCCCCTCACCCGAGAGCAGCAGCGGGTCCTTGTCCGGGGCCTTGCGGACGTGGTCGCTCTCCCCGGTCAGGGCGCTCTCGTCGATCTTCAGGTCGTTCCCCTGGATCAGGACCCCATCGGCCGGCAGGAGGTCACCTGGGAGGGGACAGGGCCACCACGGTGTCACCGGGGGTGTCCTGGGGTGTCACCAGACCAGGTGACCAGGCCGTGTCACCACAGAGCCAGAACTTCGTGCTGTGTCCTGGTGTGACCGGGGACCTCGTGATGTCCCCTGGGGTGACCACGGACCCTGTGATGTCACCTGGGCTGTCCCCAGACCGGGTGTCTGGGCCGTGTCACCACAGTGTCACCAGAACTTTGTGCTATGTCCTGGTGTGACCGGGGACCTCGAGGTGTGTCATGGAGTGACTGCGATGTCCCCTGGGGTGTCCCCAGACCGGGTGTCCGGGCCGTGTCACCGTGGGGTGACCAGGACCTTGTGCTGTGTTCTGAGGTCCCCTGGTGTCCCCCGACGTCCCCTCATGGGCCCGTGGGTGCAGGGACACAAGAGGATGTGGGGATGGGGACACGGTGGTGGCATCGGGATGGGGATGGTGACACAAGGCTGGGGACACTGGGATGGGGACACAGCGGTGGAGACAGAGGATGGGGACATGGGATGGCATCAGGATGGGGACACAGGGCTGGGGGCAGGAATGGCATCAGGATGGGGACACAGGGTTGGGGACACAGGATTTGGGACACTTGGGATGGGGACAGGAGACGCCACAGAGACGGGGACACGGGGCTGGGGACAGGAGACGCCACAGAGACGGGGACACAAGGCTGGGGACACAGGGCTGGGGACACAGGGCTGGGGACAGGAGACGCCACAGAGACGAGGACACAAGGCTGGGGACACAAGGACGGGGACACGGGGCTGGGGACAGGAGACGCCACAGAGACAGGGACACGGGGACACCACCCCTCGCGCGACTCCCCGCTCCGTCACTCACCGTACTTGACCTGCACCACGTCCCCCACCACCAGGTCGGCCACGGGCAGCTGTGCCAGGCGCCCCCCGCGCAGGACGGCGGCGCGCTGCTCGCGCTGCAGGCGGCTCTGCAGCCCCCGGAACTGCCGCTCCTTGCTCCAGTCGTTGGACGCCGTCACCAGCACCACGCAGGCCACCGACAGCAGGATGGCCGCGCCCTCGATCCAGCCGGCCGCCGCCTCGCCCTCGTCCTCCGCGCCCCCCGAGGCCTGCCCGCACGCTGGGGGGGCGTGGGGACACGCGTGTCACGGGGGGGGACATGGGGACACGGGTGTCACAGGGGGACGTGGCGACACACGCGGGGACATGGGTGTCATGGGGGGGATGTGGCGACACACGCGGGGACAGAGGTGTCACGAGGGGGACGTGGGGACATGGGTGTCACGGGGGGACGTGGCGACACACGTGGGGACACGGGTGACACGGGGGAAGTGGCAACACATGTGGGGCACAGGTGTCACGTGGGGAAGTGGCGACACATGCGGGGACATGGGTGTCACGGGGGGAAGTGGCGACACACGCGGGGACACGGGTGTCACGGGGGGGACATGGCAACACATGTGGGGACATGGGTGACACACATGGGGACAGAGGTGTCACAGGTGGGGACACGGGGACAGAGGTGGCACACGTGGGGATATCAGTGACACACGTGGGGACACTAGAGACAGAGGTGGCACACGTGGAGACATGGGTGACACACATGAGGACACAGGAGGGATCCAGGTGACACGCGTGGGGACACCAGTGTCACGTGCAGGGACACAGCCAGGGGTGTAGGGGACGTGGGATGGGGACACGGGGACACAGGGATGAGGACATGGGGATGGCACTGGGATGGGGACACGGCGCCGGGGCTGTGGGGACAGCGGTGTCACCTTCATCGGCGGCGCTGGGGGGGGCGTAGAAGGACAGCCCCAGGGACACGAGTGCGGCCACCTCGAGGATGACGAGGGTGACGTCCTGCAGGGCCTCCCACACCAGCGCCGCGAAGCTCTTGGGGCGCCGCGGGGGGATCCAGTTCCGGCCGAACACCCGGCGGCGGCGCTCCAGCTCCGGGGGACCCTCGGACAGCCCTGGGGACACGGGTGTCACCCCCACCGCCACCCTGGGGACACCCTGACAGCCCTGGGGACACGGGTGTCACCCCCACCGCCACCCTGGGGACACCCTGACAGCCCTGGGGACACGGGTGTCACCCCCATGGCCACCCTGGGGACCCTCGGACAGCCCTGGGGACACGGGTGTCACCCCCACCGCCACCCTGGGGACACCCTGACAGCCCTGGGGACACGGGTGTCACCCCCACCGCCACCCTGGGGACACCCTGACAGCCCTGGGGACACGGGTGTCACCCCCACAGCCACCCTGGGGACCCTCAGGCCTGGAGACACCCCTGGGGACCCTCGGACACCCCTGGGGACACCCCTGGGGACCCTCGGACAGCCCTGGGGACACGGGTGTCACCCCCAGGGACACGGGTGTCACCCCCACGGCCACCCTGGGGACTCCTGGGTCACCCACAGCCACTCTGGGCTGGGGGTGTTGGGAGGGGTCTGGGGGTCCGGGGGGTCTGAGGGTGGTCCTGGGTGGTTTTGGGGGTCCGAGGGGGTTTTGGGGAGGGGTCCCGATGGTTCTGGGGGGGGGGCCCTGGTGGTTTTGAGGGTCCTGGTGGTTTTGGGGGTCCCGGTGGTTCTGGGGGGTTGCCCCGGGTGGTTTTGGGGAGTTTTGGGGGTTCCCAAGGTTTTCCAGGCAATGAGGGGATCTGGGGGCGTCGGGGCGGGTTCTGCGGGATCTCGGTGGGTTTCGGGGGGTCCCGGGGGGGTCGCGGCGGGTCTGGGGGCGTTACCGTCGGTGGGGGAGGTGCGCAGGCGGCGGCAGAGCCCCGAGACCCCCCCCAGGTCCCGCTGCAGCCTCAGGAGCGCCTCGGGGCCCCGGAGCTCCATCAGCGCCCGCAGCTCCGGCAGCGCCAGCCCGAAACCCCCCCCGGCGTCCCCCATGGCGGCCTGGGGACAGCGACAGCGTGGGGACAGTGTGGGGACACCGCTGGGGACAGGGACAGTGTGGGGACACCGCTGGGGACAGGGACAGTGTGGGGACAGTGTGGGGACAGTGTGGGGACACCGCTGGGGACAGGGGACAGCGCTGGGGACACAACTGGGGACACAGGAAGAGGGATGGGGACAGGCCTGGGCACAGGGGACAGCGCTGAGGACAGGGGGACAAAGATGGGGGCACCACTGGGGACATGGGGACAGCGCTGAGGCCACCACTGGGGACATGGGGATGGGTCTGGGGACACGAGAGCGGCGCTGGGGACAGCGCTCAGGGTTTGGGGACACGGCTGGAGGCTTGGGGACACATCAGAGCCGGGGGACACCGAGCGGGGGACAGCAGGAGGGACAAAAGGGGGGACAGCGATGGGGACATGGAGGGGGACAGGGGACATCCCTGGGGACATCCCGGGGACAGGGACAGGGGACATCCCTGGGGACATCCCTGGGGACATCCTGGGGACAGGAGCCGGGCCACCGCCCCTCACCTGTCAGCGCTGGCGGGGCCTGGGGGGGGTCTCGCCGGGGGGGGCCCGGCCGCCCCCCCTGCCCGGGCCACACCTGGGGACAGCGGGGACACCTGAGGGGACAGCGGGCAGCGGCCCCACCCCCCGGGGACACCAGTGACCACCAGTGACCACCAGTAACTCCCAGTTCTCCCAGTTCTCCCAGTCCCCCCCAGTCCCCCCCAGTTCTCCCAGTCCCATCTCGCTCCGCCCAAGCCCCGCCCCCTCCCGTCCATCCCACATTTTCAGCCAATCAGCGCCTTTAAAGGGCGTGGCCACTCCCGAGGCCCCGCCCCCGGCCCTGCGGCGGCGCGCGCGGACTGCGCCAAACGGGGGGCGTGGCCTCTGGGAGGGGGCGGGGTATATGCTGCCATATATGGGCAAAGCCACGCCCACCGCGCGGGAAAAGCGCCGCCCCCGCGCTGTAAGCCCCGCCCACCGCGGGGGAAGCCCCGCCCCCAGCGCGGCACAGCTGGGCACACGTGGGCTCCAGTAACCCCCAGTAACTCCCAGTTTGCCCAGTGACCCCCAGCAAGTGGCAGTGCCCCCAGTAGCTCACAGCTCCCCCAGTGCTCCCAGTAACTCCCAGTTCGCCCAGTGAACCCCAGTAACCCCCAGTGCCCCAGTATTCCCAGTAACCCCCAGTAACTCCCAGTTCATCCAGTGAACCCCAGTAACCCCCAGTAACTCCCAGTTCATCCAGTGAACCCCAGTAACTCCCAGAGGCTCCAAGAACTCCCAGCTCCTGCTCACGCCTGTCCCTGGCACACCTGGACACATCTGGACACACCTGTCCCTGACAGACCTGGGCACACTTGGGCACAGCTGGGCACAGCTGTCCCTGACACCTGGACACCTCCGAAACACCTGGACACAGCCGGTCACCCCTGTCCCCACCACACCTGGCCACTCCTGTCTGTGACACCTGGACACAGCCGGTCACCCCTGTCCCCACCACACCTGGCCACCCCTGGCACCTGAGCATCCCTGCCACACCTGGGCACACCTGGACACACCTGGGCACACCTGGCACCTGGGCATCCCTGACACAGCTGGGCACACCTGGCACACCTGGCCACCCCTGGCACCTGGGCATCCCTGCCACCCCTGGCCACAGCTGTCCCCAGCCCCGCTGGCCACCGCTGGCCCTGGCCCCGCACATCCCCGTCACACCTGCTCGCAGCCGTCCCCAGCACACCTGGTCACCGCCCCCCTCCCCCCTTCGGCCTCCCACCTGCCCAGGTGCGCCCCTCGCCCCTTCCCCCCTCCCCCCCAAATCCCCCCTTCCCCCTCCCCCCGCACCCTCCACCCTCCCCCCTCCCGCAGCCCCGCGCGCTGCCCCCTCCCCCGCCCCTCCCCCGCTCCCCCCGAGCCCCCCCGAGCCCGGACCCCCCTCCCGGAGCCCCCCGAGCCCCCCCCGGCCCCCCCCGGTACCGGTCCCGGCCCATCGGTCCCGGCGCTGCGGCGCTGCCGGAGGCGCTGCGGGCCGGGGGCGGGGCCTGCGGGGGGCGGGGCCTGGGCTGGAGGCCACGCCCACTGGGTGGGAACCCCCCCCCCCATACCCACACCCCCCCTCCGATGTCGCTGGTGGAGACCACCGGGGGTTGTCACCTCCTCTTTGTCGCCTCCTGTGTGTCCCCTCCCCGTGTCACCCCCCGTGTCCCCCTCCCGGGCCCCCCCCCGCGTCACCCCCCCCGTGTCCCCCTTTCTGTCACCCCCCCCGTGTCCCCCCCCCGTGTCACACCCCCCCGTGTCCCCTTTTCTGTCACCCCCCGTGTCCCCTCCCCGTGACACCCCCCGTGTCCCCCCCCCCCGTGTCCCCCCCCCGTGTCCCCCTTTCTGTCCCCCCCCCGTGTCCCCCCCCCGTGTCACCCCCCCCGTGTCACCCCCCACCCCGTGTCTCACCTGTCCCCACCAGGGTGTCCCCCCACCCCGGGTGTCACCTCGGTGTCCCCATCCCTTGGAGGGCCAGGCCACACCTGGGGGGGTACGGGGGGACACAGGGGGTCAGGGGGACAGGGGACACAGGGGACATCGGGACAGGGGGTCACAGGGGACAGTGGGGACAGCAGGACAGGGACACAGGGGATGGGGGTCACGGGGACCCACGGATGAGGGATGCAAGGGACAGAAGGTGTGGGGACACCAGGGACAGTGTCAACTTAGGGGACACCCCCGTGTCCCTTTCCTGTCCCTGTCCTTGTCCCTATCCCTGTCCCCATCTCTCTCCTACCCCTGTCCCCATCCCTGTCCCATCCCACTACTGTCCCTGTCCCCATCCCGGTCCCTGTCCCAACCCTATCCCATCTCACCCCTGTCCTGGTCCCCATCCCTGTCCCATCCCCATCCCTGTCCCTGTCTCTGTCCCGTGTCCCCATCCCTGTCCTGTCCCATCCCTGTCCCATCCCCATTCCTGTCCCTGTCCTTCTCCCCGTCCCTGTCCCATCCCCATCCGTCTCCGTCCCCATCCCTGTCCCATTCCTGTCCCCATCCTTGTCCCTGTCCCTGTCCCTGTCCCTGTCCCTGTCCTGTGTCCCCATCCCTTTTCCTGTCCCCATCCCCATCTCTGTCCCTGTCCTTCTCCCCATCCCTGTCCCCGTCCCTGTCCCCGTCCCTGTCCCCATTCCTGTCCCTGTCCCTGTGTCCCTCTCCCTGTCCCATCCCTGTCCCATCCCCATTCCTGTCCCATCCCTGTCCCCATCCCTGTCCCATTCCTGTCCCCATCCCTGTCCCCATCCCTGTCCCTGTCCGTCTGTCCCCGTCCCTGTGTCCCCATTCCTGTCCCATTCCCTGTCCCCGTCCCTGTCCCATCCCCATCCCTGTCCCCATTCCTGTCCCCATCCCTGTCCCTGTGCCGTCTCCCCATCCCTGTCCCGTGTCCCCGTCCCCGTCCCGCCCTCCACGTGCCTTTTCCTCTGGCCCCGCCCCTTTCCCGCCCCCTCCCCGCCAATCACAGCGCGGCGCGCGCCCCTCCCGCCTTTTTCCACCAATGAAAACGCGCGGGAGGCGTGGGCAGAGGCGATGACATCACCTCCACTAGATCACGCCCCTTTTCGCCCCACCCCTGCTCCTGATTGGCTGCTTGGTGCAGCGATAATTGACATCTTTTTTGTCCAATAGCAGAGCCGCGCGCAGCGGGAGCGCTTCCCATTGGCTGCGAGCCGGCGGGGGCGGGGCCAGCGGCCGCGGTCGCTCCCCGGGGTCCGGGGGGGATTTGGGGGGACCCGGGGGGGATTTGGGGGGGATTGGGGGGATTTGGGGGGGATATGGGGGGACCCGGGGGGGATTTGGGGGGACCCGGGGGGGATTTGGGGGGGATTTGGGGGGACCCGGGGGGGATTTGGGGGGACCCGGGGGGGATTTGGGGGGGATTTGGGGGGACCCGGGGGGGATTTGGGGGGGTGACACCCCCAGGGGCTGATGGAAGGGTTGGGGACCCCCGGGGGGACATCCCGGGGGTGGCGCCACCCCCAAAGGCGATGGGACATTGGGGACACCCCAGGAGGGGACACCGGGGTCCCCCAGAGCCGTGGGGACACAAAGGAGGGAACACCAGGGACCCCCAGAGCCATTTGGGGCATTGGGGACCCCCTGACTGGGACACTGGGGACACCCCTGGGTGACGCCACCTCCCCAAGGCATTGGGACATGGGACACCCTCCCAAGGAGGGGACACCGGGGACCCCCAGAGCCATGGGGACATTGGGGACACCAAGGAGGGGACCTCCAGAGCCATTGGGGACACCAAGGAGGGGACACTGAGGACCCCCAGAGCCATTGGGGACATTGGGGACACCAAGGAGGGGACACCGAGGACCCCCAGAGCCATTGGGGACATTGGGGACAGCGCGGGGAGGTGACACGGGCTCACAGCGGTCCGGGAGGTACAAAGCTTTATTGGGGAGGGGGCGGCGGGGGTCCCTAGGCGGGGGACACGGAGGAGTTGGACACCGAGGACACCTCGGTGCGTGAGGTGGACACCTCGGAGCCATCGTCCACCTTCTTGCCGAAGAGCTGCAGGATGCAGTTCCGGAACTGCGGGGACACGGGGGGGGGACATGGGGACAGACAGGGGACAGGAGGGACAAGGGGGACACGGGGGACACGGGGGGACATGGGGACAGACAGGGGACATGGGGACAGACAGGGGGACATGGAGATGTAAATGATGGGGCTGTAGGTGGTGGCTGTATCCCATATATCCCATATCCCATACCCCCCATACCCGCCATGCCCGTAGGTGCCCATAGGTGCCCCCAGGTACCCCCAGGTACCCCCAGGTGCCCATAGGTGCCCCCAGGTGCGTCTCACCTGCCGGTTCATGAAGACGTAGATGATGGGGTTGTAGATGGTGGCGCTCTTGGCGAAGAAGGCGGGCAGGGCGGCGGTCAGCGGGTGGAAGGCGTAGCCGGGGTTGGCGGCGGCGAAACAGGCGAAGATGGTGTAGGGCCCCCAGCAGAAGCAGTAGGCCAAGATCATCACCACCACCATGCGCGACACCTCCTTCTCCGCCTTCTGCGTCGACTCCGACTCCTTCTGCTGCGCCGCCACCTGGGGGGGGAAAGATGGGGGGTTAGGGGGGTCCTGGGGGGGAGATTGGGGGGTTAGGGGGGTCCTGGGGGGTCCTGGGGGGGTTAGGGGGGTCCTGGGGAGGTCCTGAGGGGGGTTTTGGGGGTTTGAGGGGGTCCTGGAGGGGTTTGGGGTGGGTATAGGGGGAGTTTATAGGGAGTATTTGGGGTTAAAGGGGTACAAAAGGTGACTCCTTCTGCTGGGCCGCCACCTGGGGGGGAGATTGGGGGGTTCGGGGGGTCCTGGGGGTGTTTGGGGGGGCTTGGGTGGGAGATTGGGGGTTAGGGGGGTCCTGGGGGGTCCTGGGGGGTCCTGGGGGGTCTTTTGGGGGTTTGGGGGGTCCTGGGGGGTCCTGGAGGGGTTTGGGGGGTCCTGGGGGGTCCTGGAGGGGTTTGGGGGGTCCTGAGGATGTCTGGGTGTGTGGGGAGGGGGCTTTGGGGACGGGATTTATTTTTCAATTCAGGATTTTTTCCCCCGGGGCTCTTTGGGGTTTGGGGGGTTTTGGGGTGGGGATTTTTTGGGGGTGGGGATTTTTTGGGGTGGGGATTTTTTGTGGTGGGGATTTTTGGGGTGGGGATTTTTGGGTGGGGATTTTTTGGGGTGGGTTTTTTTTGGGGTGGGGGTTTTTGGGGGGGGGGTTTTTTGGGGTGGGGGTTTTTTTCCCCGGGGTTTTTTGGGGTGGGGGTTTTTTGGGGTGGGGATTTTTTGTGGTGGGGATTTTTGGGGTGGGGATTTTTGGGGTGGGGGTTTTTTGGGGTGGGGTTTTTTTGGGGTGGGGTTTTTTGGGGTGGGGATTTTTGGGGTGGGGATTTTTTGGGGTGGGGATTTTTTTCCCCGGGGTTTTTGGGGTGGGGATTTTTGGGGTGGGGATTTTTGGGGTGGGGATTTTTTGGGGTGGGGATTTTTTGGGGTGGGGGTTTTTTGGGGTGGGGTTTTTTTGGGGTGGGGGTTTTTGGGGTGGGGGTTTTTGGGGGTGGGGAATTTTTGGGGTGGGGAATTTTTGGGGTGGGGAATTTTTGGGGTGGGGATTTTTTGGGATGGGGATTTTTTTCCCCGGGGTTTTTTGGGGTGGGGATTTTTTGGGGTGGGGATTTTTTTCCCCGGGGTTTTTTGGGGTGGGGGTTCTTTGGGGTGGGGATTTTTTGGGGTGGGGTTTTTTTGAGGTGGGGATTTTTTTCCCAGGGGTTTTTTGGGGTGGGGGATTTTTTGGGTTTTTTTTGGGGTGGGGGTTTTTTGGGGTGGGGATTTTTTGGGGTGGGGATTTTTTGGGGTGGGGGTTTTTTTCCCCGGGGATTTTTGGGGTGGGGGATTTTTGGGGTGGGGATTTTTTGGGGTGGGGATTTTTTTCCCCGGGGATTTTTTGGGTGGGGATTTTTTGGGTGGGGGTTTTTGGGGTTGGGGATTTTTTTCCCCGGGGTTTTTTGGGGTGGGTTTTTTTTGGGGTGGGTTTTTTTTGGGGTCTCCTCACCGCGCGGATGGCCAGCCAGACTTGCAGGTAGCAGAAGATGATGACGGCCAGCGGGAAGAAGCAGCAGGTGACCATCAGCACCACCATGTAGGACTGCACCCCCGGGTCCGTGCTGCCGCTGAACACGTCGGGCCCGCACGACGTCTTCAGCCCGTGGGGCCAGTACCTGCCCGGGGGACATCGGGGGACAGCGGTGACCCCCAAATCCCTCGGGAAGGATCCGGGTCTGGGGGACCCCTGGGAACCTCAGGGGGTCACCCCCAGGCCCACCTTGGGGACACCTGAACACCCCCACAGAACGTCCCCAGACCCTGCCCAGGGGGACATCGGGGGGCAGGGGTGACAAAAAGGACCCGACCCCCCCAAATTCCTCGGGAGGGTTCCAGGTTCAGGGGACCCCAAAGGATCTTGGGGTCCTGACAACTCTGGGGACACCGGTGTGACCCCTGCGACCCCCTGGGGACAC